CCTTTGTTTACATTTAGCCAAGTCAACAACCTTTGTTTACATTTTAGGCCATTGCCCCTTTTGTTTACATTTTATGGGGTCAATGACCCTTTGTTTACATTATGAGTTTAATGACCCTTTTGTTTACATTTTGCCGAGGTCAATAACCCCTTTGTTTACATTTTATGGAGTCAATGACCCTTTTGTTTACATTTAGCCAAGTCCACAACCTTTGTTTACATTTTAGGCCATTGCCCCCTTTGTTTACATTTTATGGGGTCAATGACTCTTTTGTTTACATTATGAGGTTAATGACCCTTTTGTTTACATTTTGCCGAGGTCAATAACCCCTTTGTTTACATTTTATGGAGTCAACGGCCCTTTTGTTTACATTTAGCGAAGTCCACAACCTTTGTTTACATTTAGCCAAGTCAACAACCTTTGTTTACATTTTAGGCCATTGCCCCTTTTGTTTACATTTTATGGGGTCAATGACCCTTTTGTTTACATTATGAGGTTAATGACCCTTTTGTTTACATTTTGCCGAGGTCAATAACCCCTTTGTTTACATTTTATGGAGTCAATGACCCTTTTGTTTACATTTAGCCAAGTCCACAACCTTTGTTTACATTTAGCCAAGTCAACAACCTTTGTTTACATTTTAGGCCATTGACCCTTTTGTTTACATTTTATGGGGTCAATGACCCTTTTGTTTACATTATGAGGTTAATAACCCTTTTGTTTACATTTTGCCGAGGTCAATAAACCCTTTGTTTACATTTTAGGGGGACAATGACCCTTTCGTTTACATATATCCAAGTCCACAACCTTTGTTTACATTTAGCCAAGGCAAAAACCTTTGTTTATAATTGGTGTCAATTACCCTTTGACGTATGCAATATTTCAGATTGATATCTGAAAAACCGAGGGATGTGTAGGGTTCCGCTCATCACACTGATTATTTATATATATATTATATGGTCTCCAACGTTTTGTTGCAAATTTAATATACCCTGTTAAACCCCTGAGTATAAAAACTATTTTGATAGAATTATTTCAGCAGAAAGTAATCAGTTCATGCCGCCGTTCAAAATTTTTTTCTTAATTTTGCTTATATTTAATTAATTACGGTTTTATAAACTGCTTTAACACTGTCAATGTATAAAATATATGTTTAGTATTTGGTTTTTATATGTCTAATTTTTAATCTAAACTACTACTATTACATACATATTCACATACATTTAAAATATTCTTATTACTGCTAATCGAGTGAGTTATGTACATTTCAACTGTTAACATTGAATTCCGCAGAGATTTTTCCTTCCGAATCCTCGCGCAATACATTATGCTTATTTTTTATATGCCACAATAGTGTAGGTCGTTGGTTAAAACGCATATTGCATATGATGCATTCATATTCTAGCGCATTGTCGTGTAACTTCATGTGCGTCTGTAGTGTTTTCTTCCGTGTAAACTTTGCCTGACACTTCTCACATGAAAAATTACGCTCCTGGGTATGCACTACGGTGTGTTGCCTTAGCTGGTACGCATTGTTAAACCTTTTTTCACATTGATCACATTTATGTGGTCGCTCGTCTATATGCTGTTTTTCATGCTTATTTAAGGTACCAGTAGTTATAAAACATTTACCACAATAAGTACATACATATGGCTTTTCTCCGTTGTGTCGTCTAGTATGAATTTTTAATTCTGTACTCGTGTAAAATGCTTTGTTGCACTTTAAACATGTGAAAGGCTTTATATTACTGTGGCGCTGTTCATGACCACGTAAGTTATATATTCCAGCAACAGCGAATCCACATATTTTGCACTTATATTTTCGCTCCGCGTCGTTTTTTAGTTGTTTTGTTGGAAAGACTCGTACTTGCCGAACGCTCAGTATTGAAGCTTTAGTATGCTGTTCTTTTTCCTGCAATATGTTTATACATTAATATAGAAATTAATAGTTTTGTATGTTATATCACAATTATATCATCATCCATATCCGCTATGTCATTTTCCAGTGGTTCTAACATTTCTGTTATCAACTCCTCATCAACTTCATAAGTCAGTTCATTTGAGGTTGTGGAATCAATTGTATTATGTTCGTCCCCGTTTGTTGATGGCAGAACTTGCTCGCTTATCTTTTCTTTTACAGTGGTACATTTCTTTTGCTCGCTTTTAGAATTTTCTGTTGCCGCCCAATCGTCAAAGTGTTTTTCAAATATATGGTCCAGGAAAGTAGAATAAACTCCGAATTGCTGCCTACAGCATTTACACTCAAGTATCATACAGTATGTGTTCGTAATGAATACCTCACCGCAATAGAATTTTTGTACAATTGTAGTAGACATTTTTGTTTATCTAAAACTAATTGTATTTAAAATTCTATGTAAACTATTTCAATTCGACAAAAATGTGTTTAGCAGATGAAAATCCTCAACTCTACATAACTTCATTTATATATTTGTTTTGCTTAGAAGACAAATGTCGATTTTCGATTCAAGTGAATCCGTTATCGAAAACCGATTCCATTTTTAAATACATGAACGATAAATAAACCTCGATATTAGTGTTGCCATTATTTAATTTCCCTATTTTAACTTCAATGCATTCTGTCCACTTTAGTATTTTGTAATCTCGAATTAGCGGTATGTCGTTTCGCAGAATAAACAGCATATATATCCGCTTCCTTTATTAGTTTTTTAGTATTTTATTGGTGAAAAGCGATAAAAAGTCGTTGCAGTTATGAATTTTTTGAAATAAATTTAAATAAAAGTTATTAGTAGACCATTGTTCGAAGTTGAATGCACATTTTCCCACCACTAAAGCTCTTTTTGATTTGCAATATTGCTAATGCATTCTAAAACCAATGACTCACATACATACATGCATAACCTATAAAGAGCAGTTACTCCAGCAAGATTAAATGATGTTTATAACTACGCGTAAAGAGTGACTTGTTGCAGCTAGTGCACAGGTAGGAGTGAGAAAATATAAATATGGTCCCTTCACATAGAACTTCCCTCGCTTTGCTTGACAATTCATACTTTAACCTGAGACTGTAAATGTAGAGAACATAAATGAACGAGAAGATGCAGTTTCGACAGCGAACATTTGTAAAATCCAATCGAGCATCATATAAAATCTAATTTTCACCTACTCGTTCATTTAGGTTCTCTGGTACTCATACAAAAGCATACATCAAACTTCTATCAAAACGAATGTCTGACGCAAAGCGAAGCAAAAGTTATTTGTGAATTAGTCATTAGAATCAGCACCACCCCCATGTAAAAGAAGAATATATTTTTTATATTACCTTTATTAGTTTTAGCATTTCTATTATTATTATTGGTATAATGACATATGCATATATTGTGTAATTATAGAGCAATAAATTGGGACTTAGATTCAGTTATATTATGTTAATGCTAATGCCGAAACTCAAATAACTACAACGTACATATTTCACGTTGCATGAAAGTCAACCGTTATAGAGTACGGACAAAATATTAAAAATACAAACACAAATAGAGTATGTTTAATAAATGATTTCACTTAACAAATAACTAATCAAAGAATTGCTTAATTATGACATTGTTGCTTACTACATTACCAAAAAAAAAAAACAATAATGGAGTTAATTTTTACTTATGTTATATACAATTCTAGCGCATTTAGCCAGAGCAATTGAAATTTTGCATGAATTGATTTAAATTTTTGCGAGGGTTTACATTTTTTTTTTGGTACTATGGAGTGTACTTATAATTCTACAGCCGCTAAAACGAAAACTGCAAATATTGTAGGTAAAATTCTAATCATATAAAATGTATGGCAGTTTAATTATTTAACTTTGACTTGCATTGTAATTTGGCAATTGATGGCCATAACGCGGAATCACAGTGTTTTAGTATTTATGTATATAATTTATGTATGTATATGTGTATGTTTGTAAAGTTTATTGCAACTGCTATCACTTTTATTGACTGAATAAATAGCAGCTCTCGTTTTAAACGGCTGTGACTTTTCAACTAAATTTCGGATACAATATTTAAAACGAAAGTACAAGTATAATGTATAAGGAAGTGTATAATCATCAGTAGAGTAAAATATAATGTATACTATGCACGTAGTACAATTTTTAGTTTAAAAACTTAAAGCTGAAGCACTAATTTGAATTTGGTACATGATAAAATTATAGTGACAAGTAAGTTTTGTGATATTAAAGTGACATAAAATAAAAACGTCTGAAAACATCAATTTTTTTTAACGCAAATCTGAAGCACGGCATATACTTAAAATATTGTTAGTTATACCATATAGCGGATACAATTTTATTCAAATAATATAATAACATTTACACTAATAATTCCAGCTTTAAGCTATTTTTTCTCAATTATTAAAATTTACTTACAAAATGCTTATCGAATTTCAATTTTCCATAATTTGCTTATAGCAAATATCCCAATCGTGCTGTGTATCATGTTGTTTGTTTGAATATATTTATAATTATTGTGTACAGGACACATGTTATAAGTGTGTAAACGGTACAAAATCTATTGTTAAAACATTAAAATCTAAAAGCTCTTCTTGTTTGTATTTCCTTGGTTGCTTACGTTCAAGAGTATTGCTACTTGATAACATATTTTGTTGTTGTTAATATGTATATAATATGTACTATGTTGTGTATTAGTTGAAATTGTCCTTCGAGTTGATAACAAAATGCCACCATACACATCTTAAACACCGAGAATGCTTTCAAAAATTGTTGTTTTCTTTTATATTTGACTTATTGATTTTAAATAGAAATCGCAAGTATTTTTTCTACTTTAATTATACATACTATTAATGTTTTACACATGTATTATCATTTTATGTAACTTTATATGCACACATGCATATTTATAATTTACTTTTCTGGCTTCAGTATTATCGCATATTTTATGCCTGCAACAAAATTGAAATCATGTGTTAGCACATGTCTTAACCGTAAATTGTGCATATTCAATAATCAATAGCTAATCACTAGTGGTGTGGTTATTATAAAAAAAAAAAATATTTTAATATTATTTGAGTATTTTAAGACTTTAAAAGCTTAAAATACCATTTAAATTCTATTAAATATCAGAAACGCCAATTTCAGTTTTCTGTGTCCCCTAAAACAAAACAGACAAAGTTAATGTGTTGTCCATATATCTAGTACTGGTACACAAATATATTAATATTTTAGCGCTTTTCGCGAAGTCGAAATCATCAGCCAGAAATTAAACAAACATAACTTGAAAAATCTCTACCTTTACCGTTGCTAGTTTGATAAAACCACTGATATATTTTAAGCGATCATACCTGCTCTTCTTCATCCACTGCGTACATTCTTGGTTTTCTGCTTAAGACATCGAGCTGCATGGCAGACGTGGTGAACCCATCTGTGTTAGCACACGGTCCAACCATTGTAGTGGTCCATTCAAATGCAATTCAATCCAACACGGTGTCGATGTAACCGTCTGCCGGCGATATTCGGCACCCCAACCCTTTACAAACGACATACGTATGGTGCACATGCGTGTTAATTGATAAACGGCCTCAAAACCTTGTGAAACCGATTGCGATAGCAATGCAGCAAATTCTTGATTATTAAAAATTTTCAAATTACAACCGGGTGGTATTTTGCAGACAGTGGCTGGATGCCAACCGTAGCGTTGATTGCAATTCGGACTCTGTACAAATATAGACGAATCACTGAGGCATTCGGCGAATACTTCACCACCGATATAGTAGAGACGTACACCTTTGCCAATGTGACGGCGTGTTTGTTCAACCACCTCATTGCGATTTACATTGGAAAGTAAGCCGAGGCAGAAACGCTCCGAATTGGAGGGATCAGTGAAGCCATCAACTGTAATGGATGGTTGGGAGGCATGAAAAGTTTCACCGACACGTGTATTTAGTTCATAGTACGAAATTGAGCACCAAAAAGCGGGCTCATGGTACATTACGGGACTAGCATCAACTGGCGGTGTCAACCTGGACATATTCATATTGTCATTCGGATCGATCGGATCACCATCTTCGCTCATGTAGCCCGGCGGCGGTGTACCCGTATTAGGAATGCTGCTACCTACGCTTAATACACTTGACTGTGAGTCCATGTTGCAAGCGCCCGATCCTACAAGTGAGCCATTCATCTGTTGCTGTTGCTGTTGTGCGGCACTCATGCCTAAACCAACAAGACTACCGGGCGAATGCTGCTGCTGTTGATGATGATGGCTTGATAGCTCCATGTACTGTGGTGGACTCAAAGAAGCACTGCGTATTGTTGTGGCATTATATTCCGTATTATTGGGTATTTGGTGGGTATGATTATCTAATGGATAATCGGTAATGGAATCTGGCGGTGTCGGCAATGATTTTGGCACCAAAATTGATAGTTCAATCTTTTTGTAATGATATGGATTAATACAAATTTCGTCTTTACGCAAATGAAAAGCGTATTCGCAATGATCCAAAGCTTTCAGTTCATTTTGTGATTGTAAATCCGGCCAGCGCCATACACGGCAATATATTACATGTGGTTGTCCTTTGCGCAAATTTTCGCCAGAAGCGCCTGGCTTGCTACGCGGTACGGTGACACAGCGTGTATTGCAATTCTGCGTGGATATGGCACGTTCTAATTCCTCAAGCTGTATATTCTTTTTTACTTTTTTAACAAGATTTTTTACTGCTTTTTCCGACCACTTTCCCTCGACCGTGTCTTCGTTGCCCTTCTTGAGTGCTAACAAACGTTTAACTACTTGTGGGGTGAATGGCAACATCGCACGTGGCACAAAAAGAGTGCGCTGGTCGACAAGTCGTCAACAAATGCTCCAGTTACAGCTGATCGCAAATTAAAGGCAAAAACAAAGCTTCAGTTTTTTAGCTTCAAAATATTATATATATGTTGTGTTGCAACTTCCTTTAGGAGTGTCACGATAGTATAATAGAAGTTTTTGAAGCCTGCTGTTCAATTTTGCGGCAAGTGAAAATTACAAGGACAACAAAAGCAGCACTCTAGAAAGAATAATTCTTGGCTATAAATTATAATTTTCCATATACTTACATATATCAAAGAAATGTTTGCCCTTAATCACTTAAACAAAATTTATTTACCTTTTTTCACTAGTTTTACCAATCCTTGATTAATGCTCTCTTAAGCTGATTATACTGAATTTTTTATTGTTACACTTAGATGTCTGATAAGGTGTTTTCTCAGGCCGACAGTAAGTTCCAATATTACTTCTATTTTTATTGCATTTAAAATAGTATAAATTAATTTTTTTTTCCAAAAAATTGCCGATTTGATATTATGTTGTACCTATGTATGAATTATGTATGTACGAGATTTGCTTACTGGCTGAGTATACTATTTTGCACGATTTCTTTATTTGCTGTCTCCTCTTCGTCTGTCTGCTGACCTTTCACACTTTTTTGTGCTTTCCGTTCTGCAACAGAGTCGTCGTTGTCTGATGGATACTTTTCTTGCCTCTTCCTTTAGTCGGCTAAATATGTTGTTTGTCAGTTTCCTTTAGAGACGTTTTAATGCACTGCCTCACACTGTCGTTATTGACGTTGTTGTATCGTTATTGACGTCGCACCCGTCGCCTCAATGCCTTATTCTATTGCATTCACTAAAGTTCTAACTCCAAGTATTTGTTCGGTTGTGGGTATCTTTCTTCCTTTTTTGACCGTGTCTGCTTTACACAAGTGCTCTTATGTGTCGGTTTTTTTTTTCTGTTAAGCACTTACTTTTCACTGTACTCTTCCTCTACCTCCTTGCACTTCCTTCCACTTCACTTAATCTATCGTTTTTGCCTTTGACCAGACGACCCAGACAACCAATGATAGCAATTTGCTGACGGCTTTCACAATCCTTTTAATCCTTTAAAACACAATTTTATGTGTATTTTTGACGTGGGACACAAGTTTTAACTTTTCACTGCAATCTTTTGCAAATATAAAACCACAAAAAAGTGTAAAATTATGGGAAATGAAAATGAAAATAAACTCGCCTCCGCACAAAGCAAAATTTACAATCGTCTCATTCATTTCTTCGTCATTTGGCGAAAGTGTTACCAGAAAGGAAAGTTTTGCAATTTTTTGGCACATACTTCCCAATGGTATAAAAATGTGCTGATTTAAAGAAAATACAATAGGGGTCAGTTAAATTAAATTTAAGTAAATAATATTTTCTAAAATACGATTTTATGACGCTAAATATACATACATTTACAAATGATAAATATATTCGTGCGCGAATCTTCATGCCCATTTTTGTGGCATAAGCAACACTGTGTGCAAATTTTTCCCCAATCAGCTGGTTTCTTGTTTACTATACATAAATTCGAAAAAAAATTTAACTAAATTGGTTACAGAATTTCTCTAGATAACTAAAATTATTGTACAAGCCTACAATTAGTAAAATAATCCACATAATTGTAGGCCGTTGTTATCTGTATATTTGTATGCTCAATGTAAACTTCTTACATTTATTTGCATTGGTCATTCGTTCTGCAAATGTGTCAAAGAATTACAATACCAAGATACGTTTTAATTTGTTTACTTTTTATTTTATTTAATAATGGTTATCAATGGAGTAGTATTTACAGTTTGAATTCGCTTTTGCAGCACACGCTCATTTTAAGCGATTTTTGTCATATTAAAAATACGATTATATAGTTATTAATCATTTTTATTACTATTCTATTGTTTCTAAGAGTTTTCAATAAATCTCAATTTTGTATTACAACGTAATTAAATCAAATACAAGTTTATACTAAGAGTTGCGCAGCTTCAAGTAAATTAAAACGGTAGGGACGCAGTCTTAGTAAAAATAAAGCGTATTTTAAAATACAAAATTTTCGACAACCAAATTATCATGGCGGATAACTTGGTTGAAAAAGCTGACATTTTAAATTTATCTGTTCTTTATTTCGACTGTGACAACGAATTTATGTTACTAATGTTACGTTTGTTTTAAGGCGGTAAGGCTTGAATTAATTTTGTAAAAATAATCGGTTAAACAGGCTCGCTTTTATACATTTAATTAGACTAAAAAACTGAAATTTCTTTAGAGATAAATAATTAATTATAGAATTTTTGAAATTGCGATTTTGAAAAGTTTAACAAAAATGTATATAAATATATTTAAATTTTAATATGTTATAACATACATAATTTCATTTGAATCTTTTCAAATTCATCTTGTCTTTTGCATTATATTTTTCTAAACTCGTTAATAGTTGAAAACTGAATCATAATAAAAATTATTTGCTTATTATTTAATATTTTGCGCTTAAATTCACTATAAACTTACAATAAAGTTATATCTAATAATTTCATAACTGCACGTGATTTTATGAACTTATAATTAAAATGTTGAAACTTGAAAATAATAACAAATTTCGAAGCGCTTACTACTCGAAACAGTATTCACTAAAGAATGAACATGAGATAGATGTACTTAAAATTATATTATATATAAATTCAAACTATAGTTCGAAAATTTTAACAAATTTAATGTATTACAATTTTTACACACTTTTGGCGATAATACAATACACAATGATTGAGACATAATGGAGTTTTACAATACCATTTGGGCAGTCACTAATTTTATTTTTTTTTAGTAAAAAATTCCCTAAATCTGCAATATTTCGGGCAACGCTATTTTATGAAATTGTAAATAACTTTAAGGCCTTCTCAAGGCTTCATAGTACATATGTATGTATGTATGTATATGCATACGAGTATAAATGTGCTTATTAAAGTTTCAACAATCATCAGTTCTGTTACACTTCTGTTTTCATAATGGTTATGTGATGGCTTATATGGAAGAATACTGATTGTTATAACTAAAACAATGGGGCATACAATGTGTGCGCATTTTTAGAAATATGTGCGAAAAATGAGTAGTAGGAAGAAGCATGTATGGAACATTGAAAATAAATTAGTTTACACATTTTTCTATTTTCTTTGGATGAAGAAAGCGTTTACGCAAAATAATATATATAATAGCATGTATGTATTGAGTAAGCTTAATTATTTGAGTATTTTTTGTTTTTTTTTCCAAATATGTATGTATGTGTATGAAGCCTAAATATTGTAAATAAATGTTTAGCTGATTTCCATAGCATGTTAATGGTTTACAGTTCCTATTGTTTTACTTTTAATGTTATTATTTTTTCAATAACAGAGAGTAGAGACGGAATTGTCGTTCATAAAATTAACCATTTCACTTAAACAACTTAAATGATTTCATATAATTTATGTTAAATACAAAGTAATTGCAGTACAAACGGTTTAAGGTTAGACTAGATTTGTTTAGGAAAGACTGTAGTTTGTAATATTTGTACAAGCATTGTTAAAGCATGCCTTAAAGTCTGTGGTCATCTGATAATGATCGATAAATTAGGAGAACAAAATTATGTGCCTAAGATTATTAATTAATCTCTTAGCAATACAATCAACTTTTTTAACGCTATTGCGCCGTACTTTACTTTTCTAAAACTAATTTTAATAAGTCTGTGCATATTTATGTCTAAAATACCGATGTACTTATTTTTAACTGTCGTAACGTATAGTTTACTTAAATATTTAAATAAGAATTGGATTTCAATGCTTTAACACGTACGCATTTACTAGCAATGCTTATGACGTATGTGATAGTTTAGCCCACTAGGGTGCGAATAGCTGCGAGAACAAAGTTTGCATACATAACGCTTTAGTCCGGCGCCACTTGTATCGCCACCGCCACCGCTAATACCGTATGAGCCAAGTGTCTGCCCACCACCACCATTACCTGCGCCATTCTCATATCCATTTTCTTCCTCGACATCATCTTCCTCATCGTCTTCGTCTTGGTCAGCAGCTCTGCTTGAAACATTCTCATTATCGTCATCATCCTCATCCATTGGGGTGTCTTGTGGCACATTATCATCATCATCGTCGTCATCATCTACTTCGCCATCATCTTCATCACCCTCACCTTCGGAATCTGTTACCATCTGTGCATAAACATTACCTTGCTGTTGTCCAGGTATAACTGTTTCGAAAATTTCCAATGGGTTTACGTTGTTACTTGCGGCTGCACGTCCCACTTTTGCGCTTGCAGTATTTGCGGCATCCTGCTGCGCTTCGGGCAAATTAACGCAGCCTGGACAAGCGTAGGGTTTACGCAAGTATATAGCGCTGGTGAATATTTCTTTGCAATAATCACAACGGTATTTGCGATGCATCTTCAAATGATTGGATAAATGATGGCGCAACCGGAAGAGCTTGTTACAATAGTCGCAACGGAAGGGTCGTTCCTCTTTATGATTAGCCATATGAAGATCACGCTCCTTACTACTGCTCAACACTTGGCCGCAAACCATACATGGAAACGCAGTAGCGCTTTCATGTGTCATAATATGTGCAATAAAATGATTCTCGGTGCCGTATGAAGCGCTACAAACGGTACATTTGAATTGCTTCTCCTTTTGATGTGTATTCATATGATAGCGTATAGCTTGTTTTGATTTAAAACCTTTCTTGCAAATGGGACACTTAAACGGTGTCTCATTCGAATGTTTTATCATATGATTGCGATATAATGAGTAATATTGGAAGGTCTTATTGCACAATGCACAATAGGCAGTGCCGCGTATTTGTCGACGCTTAGCCTTCATTTCACCACCACTAACATCGGTGCCGCCGCCCAGTATGCTGGCATCCAATGAATCGGTGGGCGCAATAAATAGCTGATTATCGAAATCTTCTTCGTCATCATTTTCAAAGGCGCCGGTTGTGTCAAAGTCGTCCTTACCTGCAGTAAAATCAGCTGTAGTATCATAGGCACTAGAATTACCATTTGCAGTGTTTTTCAATTTGACATCGGGCGTTGAGGATTTCAAAGTGTATTTATTTGCATATGATTGGAAACTAGCTGGATCGGCACGCCATTGTGCTGCCGATTCTATATCTTTACTAAATGCAGTTTCATTTTCGGAATCGTTTGTGTTGTGTTCGGCATTATTGTATTTATTCCTTTTTTTTGGATCTGACTGTTTATTGTGCTCACCTTGCTTAGGGCCTGATCCAGCAGTTACCGTTTGGCGTTGTGGTGGATTGTGAATGCCTGTGTTTCGGTAGGCTGCCGAGTGATCTTGTCCATTTAAACTGTAGTCCTCGGACTCTGTGTGCACATTTACGTCCAAGTAGTTTCCGCAATCAAAATACTAATTTAAAATAGTCGGGTATGATCATTATTAAGTAATTTAGCAATATTAATTCTATAACCACACATTCGAATATACATACATATTTCGCCTAAATATAGGAATATAACAAGGACTAATTAGAATTCACTATATACACAGGTATTTAAACGAAAAATGATTATCGGTTACTTTATATAGCAGCTATATGCTTTAGTGGTCCGATCTGTACAATTTCTTCAGAAATTACACCGTTGACTTGGATAATAATTCATGCCAAATTTCGATATCTCGCCTAATAAGAAAGTTTTCCATACAATAATTTGATTTTGATCGTTCTCTTTGAAAAGTGGATGTGTGTACAAATTTTAGATTGATATCTCAAAAACTGAGATACTGGCTAGCATATACTCGTATACAGACAGACAGGCACACAAATTTATTTTGTAGATTCTCCGACGTTAGAGTATTAAGAAAAGGAGTTTATATTAGGGCATATCGTTTTCTAAAACATGGAGCTTGCATATTATATTATTATATAAGCCTAGCATGACATATCCCCTAATGCAATAATTTAATATCTGCCGCCCTAGTAATAAAAACTGATGCACTATGGCGTCTGCAATGCTATTAAAAAATCTGCATTGTTAAAAATTAAAGGCTGAGAAAAAAAGAAACATACTTAAAGAAATCGAAACCGGTTCATTTCAACCCCTTACGGCTGTAACTACGCATCCACGATCTATTACCGATTTTTATATGTACACTTTTTAAAAGCCACAGCTATAACGTATATGCTATACATGTGTGGTGACGGACACGGGTATCAGAATGCATAAAAGGATGAAAAGTATACATGCATGTAGAAATACATATATGAATAACGCCAGCTGTAAGTGGTTTGTTCTATTTTAAAGAAAAAAATCGATACGTATAAACGCGTTTGTAATAAAGAATTGTTGAGCAGCAAAATTATTTATAAATGGAAATTGTGTACTTATGCATTTACCATAAATTTGGGAAAAGCCTTAACTACTTTCAAAAATATTTTTAAGGGCGTTTTTGGGTATACATAAGCTGTACGATATTTTTTAAAAATAATTAATAAATACATATGTATTTCTACAAATCTGTCTGATTTACACATAATCCCCATGAAATATGTTATGAGTATAAATTGTTTGCTTACATCTTGATCTTGTTCATAGAAATTAGACTGCTGAGTTCCTTCGTATTCACCATCATCTGTTTCATCGCCGTCGTCGACAAAGCCACCCAAATGTTTAATTTTTATGTGGCATATAAATTCGCCAATGTCACGTGTACTTTTGTTACAATAGGTGCAAATAAATGTCCATTGTCGTGCATTATTGGATACAAAGACTTCACCACACCGAGATTTGGGTAATTCAACTTTTCTGTTGCTAATTATCTCGTTGCTGGGGTTAAGAAGACCGCTGCCATTGTCACTTGCACTGTTTTTAGTTAAAACATTAGGTTGCGTTTGGTTTTGTTGTAGCTGGCGCATCGATATGTTTGTGTTCCGTCCCACTTCTAAGTGTTTTTTACCTGTCTCTGCTAAATTACTCACATCCGTCGACGACGCAACTTTTTCATGCTCCTGATCACCAACACCATCCTCAACTGCTACATTACTTTCAATGCCAATCTCCTCCTGCTGCTCTTCATCCAGCTTCTCTGTTTTGATTGCAACTTTCGACATATTTTACACCAAAGCAGACAATAGAATTTACACTGTGTTATTTTATTTACTACTTTTACATTGTTTCGTGTGAAATGAACATTTTTTTTGCAAACCCTTTCGCAGACGGCAATGTATAAAACTTTTCACTAGAATTCGTAAATTGTTTTTATTATTTTGTCAAATGCGTGTGATAAGTGTGTGAAAAAGGGAGAAAGAGAGCGCGTGCTGAACTGGGTGGAAAGAGTAAGAGAACGGGTGCGCGTTTAAAGTAAATTGGCATATAGCGTTGCCAATGCATACCAATTTCGTTTTTAATATAAAAAAAAAATTGCTAATGCAATAACTTTATCTAAACTTTAAAGTTATTATTGAACATTTATTAAAATCACACTAAACAATAATAGCTATAAAATATTCAATTTCATAATTCCAATGTGCAAGAGCATGAAATCTGCACTATTACCAGATCATTTTGAAATTTTTTTTTATTTTTATTTATTTATTAAAGGAAATACAATTATAAATAAATATACTACCTATAAAATATAACAGCACTAGCGACAATGCCTTCAGCTTTAATATAATATATATATATAATAGTATTTTGAAAATTATTAAGTTCTCTGCTACAAAAATTCAATGTTAGTTAATTTTTGTTACGTCAGAGAATGTTGATGAGTAGAGAAGGAGCAAATGTTAGCAGTACTAAAATGTTAATTGCTAAGAAGGAACATCGAAAACGCGCAAATTGGAAAATAAAATTTCACCACAACTATCAGGGTACGAAACGAACTACACCACTCTATAAGCAAAATGTATATACATACATATGCACAGATGTTCATTGGTATGCGCATAAACAAAAATTGAAATAATAAAAATGAAAGTAATTGACTTCCGACGGATTGAGCTAACCCCTTCCCGCTTACGTCCTCAGCCACCACAAAAGTGGAAACGCGGCCGCTTAGCCACCGTTTTATTGTTATCCTTTGTTTAATAAGCAAATAAGTTGGAAAACTAGCCTATTAAATGTTTATTTTTTTATGAATTCTGGGGTTTTTACCGGTAATACAGATTTTTAACTCAGAAGGCTTTTCATGATTATAAATTTGTCATATCATAGAAATTGAAAACATAAATCTAAATAGGTATGCGCAATGATTTTTCATATAGAAATATTCGTTGTGTCTATTTATAGCATTTCGCACATTGTGTGGTGTATTTTTCTTTTTCGAAGTTATATTTTTCGATGTTCCTTCATGTGGAATTACAAATTAGTACTCAAAAAGTTTTCATTTAACATTTGCTCCTTCTCTATTCATTTACGTTCTCTGGTTTAGCGCCAGAAGAGATTGGTATAGAACGGTATTTAAATCAATAAATTTAAAATTACAGCTTTATTCCCTGAAACAAGTAACATTTATTACAGTTCGCACCAACATTTAAAAGCAATATTTCAACGCGTCTAAAAGATAATGCCAGTTTAACAAAGAGATAGGCAAATGAAGAAAATATAAGACGGCAGAATCGTCAAAACTGCGAAAAAAATACTTATTTAAGAATCCCAACGCCTCCTTTTTCAGTTAAATTAAAATATCACAACTTGTATTCATAATTCTAATTAAGTTTTTTGTACAATATTTTAATGTTGCAAACGTCAATTCTTATAATGCGTACAAGTTTCAAAATATTTAGTAGACAGCATTGCCGCCTTCGTCAGTATTGTCGATGATATTTGTTTAATGTGGCCAATACAATATCATCTGGCGATTTGGTATCGAAATGAAAACGATGTATTTTATGTTTTACTTTAAAAACGTGACTTATTTTCGGAAATGGATGTGTTCGTTTATATTTTAGACAGATAATTCGTCCACACGGTGATGGCGTAGCTAATTTTTGGTTATCGAATATTGTAGAGATGTTGCTACTTGGCTGGAAGTAATTGTTAATGACAGGCAATTGAATAGGCTTCTCTTCACGATCACACTCTATAAATGGTATATGGAAGTCTTCAGCGGGCGGAGATACCGTTTTTTTATTTTGCACAAAAATTCCTGAAGCAGTGCTTAATGCGGCAGTTAGGTCAATAGCATTGTTTGATAGTCCCACTTTTTTCTCTATTCTTGAGTCATTCACCTGAAGGTTGTTGACGCCTTTACTAATTTCTCCAATGCCATCAATAATTTTCTTATCGTTTTTTGATGTCTGTGCAATTATCAAAGATGATAATTTCACATTACACACTGTGGTAATAGTTGTTTGGGATAATTTTAATGGTGGAATAACGAAGTTTCCAGCATTCGAATTACCCATTTGCAACTTAGGTAACACGAATCCATTAGGCGATTCAACTTCACTGTTCGAAACATGTTTCTCTTTCAATTGTCCCAAAATGAATTGGTTTAGCAGTGATGTTGCTGCCGCATCTTTCCCGGAAACAGGTATTTTGTTTTCTTGCCCAACACTCGTATCCATTTAAAAATATTCGCGTTAATTATATTTTGGGAATAAAAACATAAATATGTATAATTTGTTGACAATTTTGCAAATGCATACAATGGAAGACAACAAAAATAGTGACAGCTGATGCCTATGACTAAGGCGACATCTACAGACTATTTAAACTTATACAACTTACTCTGGAGTGTACACACGTAAACTTTCATTGCTTGCTAACCAAGAATCAAGAATCAAAAATGTTTATATTTTTTTCATTAAAAATAAGTTTGTATAAATATAGATAGGTATTTAACATAAAATGCTGAACTGTTTTTAAATACATTTTTATTAAATATTCTAATCAAACATTCCAACGTTTACATTCTTTTTTCAAATTACTCAAGAAAACTGCATTTATTTATCCAAACGACAAATCGGTCCCTCTTCTACCATTTTCAAGTCAACTTTAGGTCCGATCAAGTCTCGTATATTATTGATGCCATATTTTATCATTGTTGGTCGTTCCAATGACAGACCCCAAGCAATTACATTAACATTATCTGGCAAACCCATAGGTAACAAGAGTTCTGGTCTAAAAACTCCTGAATTTCCAACCTCAATCCATTTATTAAGACCTGGATGAAAGCAGAAGATTTCCATGCTGGGTTCGGTATAGGGGTTATAAGCAGGTTTGAACTCCAGCTTCTCAATTCCAAGTTTGCGGAAGAACTCATATAATGTGCCAATTAAGTCACCTAGTGTTAGACCTATATCTGCAACTACACCCTCTACTTGATGGAACTCAGCAAGATGTGTTGCATCCAGTGTCTCATTTCGGAACACTTTATCAATACTAAAATATTTTACTGGACGAAAACCTTCCGCTTGATTTGCCAATTTATATAACATTCGTGCACTTACTGCGGTAGTGTGAGTGCGCAGCGTATTCCTTTGAGCTTCTTCCAATTTCCAATCATACACATAACCAGTTGAATCATAACCACCACGTGAATGTACCTCCTGCACACGTTGCATATATTCTTGTGGAAATTTATAACTTTTTGCCGGATTGCTTATAAAGAATGTATCTTGAGCATCTCGAGCGGGATGCTGTTGTGGCACAAATAACGCATCAAAGTTCCAGAAAGACGACTCAATATAGTTGTTTGTGGGCATTTCCGAAAAGCCCATTTCCAAAAATATCTGACGGAATTCAGTACGCACTTTTTGTAGAGGATGCAAGTGTCCTCTCATAGGAGCAGCACCCAAGGCATCGAAATTATACGATTTAAACTTAAGGTCCTTCCACAATCCACTAGCTAGCATGTCCACTGTCAAATCTGTCTCCAGCTTCGTTAACGTCGTGGCGAATTCCGGTCCTTTACTTAAAATAAAGCTTTTTGTTGTAATCTCTTGCAACAATTTTCGCTTTTTAAATTCCTTAATAACATGTGGTGGAAGATCAGCTTTGTTTTTTGATATCTCTTCCAAAGATTTCTTTACCGTATCTTCGATTTTGTCCACTTTTCTTTTGACGAGTGGTGGACTCACAGATTTGTCTAAAAATATCCAACCGAGTGACATCGCTTTACTGTACCCAATCTTAGCATTTGGACCACTCTTCATAAGTTCGTCTTGAGGCACTCCTTCCGATGGCACAGTACCATATAAATTTGCTTCGTGGCTACCATTCGTCATTACAGTCTGCCCCTCCTCCGTCAACTCTAAACTCTTCACTAAGGTTACTTCAGCTTTTAACAAATCTCCATGAGCTTCGATACTTTTCAATGCACCAACAATTTTCTGATGATCTACATCAAACAATGTGGCCAAGTCAATGGTGCTAACTCTGTCGGTGCTTTCTAAATGCTGCAATATACGCTCAGTAAGATCTGGATGCATTTTTATAGAATTTAAACAACTGCAACTAAATAATTAACGCGTGTTATTTGCCGATGCAAACAAATTAACAAGGTTGTTAACTGATAATGAGCCGATATGACAATTTTGACGTACGATGAGGGTTGCCACTTAAATATTGAAGGTACGAGCGATTATACAACCAAGTCTAATATTGAACTAATTTCCGTCATTGATTATCGTCTACTTTTCACGATTAATCGGATTGCATCGGAATACTTTCATTTATATTTTGATATTTATTTATGGTTTTTCTATAATCATTATTCTACCAACATATACAAAATATTCCTACAAATTAATTTGTAAATATTACTTCATGAGTTTTCTTCATTTACAATGCTATTTACAGCCGAAATCGTTTCCTCACGTGCTATTGGTGGCCCAGAATCCATCGAACTATTAAAATTTTCCGGAAAAAATGAAGTATAAGTCGCATTTTGTATAAGTTCGACGATGACTCGCTTCGCCTCTTCCTCTTTTTGTATGATCTCTTCAGAGTTTTCTGTCCTATCAGTTTCTTCTTTCACCACCACTAATCCTGTTTTGATCTCCTCTTCATCAGTTGGTATTTGAGCTACGTTTTCTTGCTTTACTTTTGTAGGAGATTTCTGTAGTTTATGCATTACTTTGTAATGGTGACTCAAACCTGAACTGAAATTGAAGACTTTGCCACATGCTTTGCAGCTAAGTATCCTTTTCGGTCGCGGCGCATGAATTTTCATATGCTGTGTTATACGCAAAGTCAGCTTTCCGCAAACCACGCAACATTGGGGAATTTGTTCCTTGTGTCTACGCAGATGCTGTTTAAGTATGCATTCTGTACTGTATTTTCGCCCACATATGTGGCATCGATATGGCTGACCTGATACATGCGCTTTAACATGTTCTTCAAACCGATCGCGGGTGTCAAAGTTCTTTCGACAAATTTCGCAATTAAATGGTCTAGATAGATGCACCTTTCTCATGTGTGTCTCCAAAAGGGTGAGACTTGTAAGTTTTTTATTACATATTTTGCATATAAATCCATCAGGATAATGAACCTGTTGTATATGATCTTTTAAATCTGGAATTTTATTAAACAACTGATCGCAGTCGGAGCATTTGTGAGCCAACTTTACATTGCTGTCCGATTCCAGATAATGAGTACGCTTATGAATGGTAAGGCTAAAGGCACTCCTGAATTTCCTTCCACAAGCAGGACAAGTCGTCTTATCATCGGTGCTATCTTGCCTGTTTATGTTATTTATCATGGGCACTACATTGCCACTGAATTTGGCTGGTTCAACATTCGATACAGTTTGTGGCAGCAGTGTAATGACCGTTTCGCCAATTATATGGCGTACCGGTTCCGTACTTTCCTCAACGGACGTTTCATTTTCTCTAGTAATTACATTGTTTTGCTCATCCATCGGTACATCGCAAGATTCAGGATTTGTGGTGTTAATTCGAGATCGCCGCTCTTCTTCAAGCTTAATACGTTCATAAAGTTCCGCTACTCTATTTTTCAAAGCAATAACCTTTACTGTAGTTACGCGTTTTTTCTTTTTGGAATTTTTAAATTGCATTATTTTAACTTGTCCCTTTGAAGTTCTTTTGAAGTCGTTTGTGGACTTCTGTTCTTCTCTTTGGTTTTTCACTTTCAAATGATTTTCATCAGTCTGCACGTAACCAAAAAAGTCTTCTGAGCAACTATTTTCATCATTTACATACATTTGATCGCCTTCAAACTCTTGACGCATTTCCGCTTCCACTTCTGCAGCTATTTCCTCCGCTTCATCCAATTCTTCCACAACCATTTTCGATTCATCAAAACCGGCTAAATCGCATGGAAGGAGAGACTGATTTGGTCCTGCTTCGTAAACTACCGCCTCGCGTGTTGCTGTTGCTGTTGCGTCGTCATCCATAGAATCTTCAGGCATAATGTCGGCACTAAATCCTTCGTGCAACTTTTCTTTCTCATCATCGTTTATATGTTCACTTAAATGCTGACAAAAATAATTGATATTTTCGCTAACTTTTTCACAATAAGTGCAAAAAAACTTCAGAACCCTTGTTGTCTCACTGAAAAATATCAGTCCACACTGAATATCGTCCTCAATTAGATTTGTGGTTGGATCACTATCAATAGAATCTTCAAGAACAGCAAAGTCATTTATGTTCTGATTATCAGATGAATTCATTCTTGAATAAATAGTACCCAATAATGCATACTTTTAGAAAATTGCAATTAGTTCTTTAAATGATAACAATAATAGTAAAATTAAACATTTTCACATTTCTCCTCTTCTTTACTAAAGCTACGTGTTGCAATTGAAAAATTATAAGATAATTCACAATTGAAACTTGTTATTTTATTAGGGCAGTCCTTAATTATATGAAACGATTAAATTTCATATGCCAGTTTTTAATTATTAAGGAAAATCTACTTTTCCCAGCATAGGCAAATCAACCAAAGATATTTCATGAGTGATGAAGTGAACACATGTGTATGTATATTTCAACGACAGAAATATAAAACAATTAAAAAACGATCTTAATTACTAAATGTACCAAATTATTAAGAATTATGTTTCAGAGTTGGTTTGTGTATAGTTTTGTGCACCTCTAATTGAGCTTCATCAATGAACTTCTTGTCACACTGCTCACAAAATATTTTTGCTGTTTTATAGTGCTTTTTGAACTTATGCGTACTTAACATAGATGCACTACGATAGCGATTCGTACACAAATTGCATTGAAATGGTAAAGATGCATCATCCGTCAAATGATGAACTTTTCGTTTATGTGTATCCATTTGATTAACTGTGTAGAATAGCTTTTCACACTCGTCGCATGGCACGTTTCGCTCTTGTGTGTGCCGCAATTCATGGCTTAACATTGCTGCGCGCCGAGAAAAAGACATCACACAAAACTTACAGTTGAAATCGGAGCGATTTTGGTGAGTATTGCGATGGCGTGCTAATGTTGTCACTGCACGAAACTGACGTCCACAAATCTCACATTGGTGTGGTTTGGACCCGGTATGTATATTTAAATGCGTATCCAGCTGCAAACGGCGACGAAATGTTTTACCACAATATGTGCACATATTTGGTGTATTACGTGCTTTGTAAGGACGTTTGTCACTATTTCTTAACAAATTTGGTTCATAGGATTTCGTCCAATCAATACTCCCATTTGGCGTACTTTCTATATGGTTTGTATCCGTATGATCACATTCGCTCTCACTGATGTTTTCATGACCTGAAGTCCTTCTGAAAGTTGAACAATCTACTAAATTTGTTTGATTAGTCGGTTTAGTTTTCACCTATATTTTAAAAAATATAAAAATTAGCTTCAAGTTTTTCTAATCTGAGCAAATAGTTGTTAAACTTACGTCAGCACTTTCTTCTTTCATCTTGTCTTTTACAATATTCTTATCATATTGTATTGCATCAAATACTATTTTGTGCGGAAGCAACTGAACATCAGTAAGGCTGTCATCGTTTTTATTTTCTACTATAATTGTTTCCTGATTGGGTGCCCCAAGAACGTTTAATCCCACTTCCGAATTATTTGTCAGATCTGCTGCTTCTAATTTCAATGGATCATGCTTACAATTGGAATTTGTCGTACTGTTGCTTTCAATATTAATAGTCACTACTTCGGTATCAGATAATTCGTTCGTGAATTCTTCATAATGTTTATTAAAATGTTCACAGAATTCAGAAAATGCAAGCGTTTTCATACCACAAAAAATGCACAAAATCGAAAATGTCGAAGATTGATAATGAATTTCGCCACATTTGGACTTGGAGTAATTATGTGCAGCATTAACGACTTTAAGCATTTTTGCATGCAATCTTCTACTAAACAACAAACTTTAGATTTGTTTACGAACGGCAAATCCAGTAGTGAACAGCTGTTTTCATATGTTTTACTTTGTTGATATAAAGCGAATATCTAATAAGTGTCACCTTTGTAGAAAGCGATGCTAAAATTGTAATTATTGGATACAAGATATGTAGTAAATGTATCAAGATATTAAAAATCAATTTTAATATGAACTACTACAACTACTTTGTTTCCAACTTTTATGAATGTAAACAATTACCAAATTTAGCTCAAAACCATTCTCAATAGAAGATTGTAATTTTTTAATTGAAATTGTACATCTCGAAATTGAATTAAAAAAAAAACATCTTATTTATGTTCTTATTAATTAATAAAACTTAATGTTGTGAATAGCATAACAAATTAAATTTGTTGCAAATTCAATTGCAACTTGACGTTTAACAGTTATCCCCTTTGTGTTGCCGCATATGACCGGCGAGCCCGGCCATTTGTGCAAAGGCACGTCCACAGAGTTTACACACAAATTTCTTTATGCCCAAATGAAGATGTTTGTGATGATACAGTGCTTTTGGTCGTGCAAACGCTCGTCCACAGACATCGCACACATGTGGTCGCTCATTCGAATGCGACGGTTCATGCTCACATAATAGCGATTTAGAAGCAAATGCTTTACCGCACAAATTACATACAAATGGCTTTTCTCCAGTGTGTGAACGCTTGTGCACAATTAAAGCAGGTTGACCCTTAGTGCGAAATCCACATATTTCACATACAAAATTTTTTTCTAATCGATGTACATAACGTGTATGCATCGATAACTGCTTTGGATTAAAAAAAGATTTTCCACAGCCTTCTATGCTACAATGGAATCCTCGTACACCAGTGTGCTTGTATTGATGAATATTTAATGCTTCTTTACTGGAATATACCTTGTCACATTCTCCACATGGAAATCCGGCATGTTTTTTTCTCAGGTGTGTGTTTAGTAATCGCTCATCGGTAAAATTCTGTTTACAACGCACACATGTGTATTGTAATTCTTTACTATGGCATTTTTTTATATGACGTTCTAAGTTTTTTGCAAATTTATAGCTTTTTGAGCATTCCTTGCATGTGAATTCCGCTGCAGTTAAATTCTTCTGTTGTTTAGGTTTGAGTATCTATTGAAATGAAGGATGTATTATATATGTATATATGTAGATAATTTCACACTACATACCCTTGGTATATACTCAGAACCCTGATTGCTTAGCTCTTCATCACTTTTAACTTCTTCCTCATCATTTAGCCATTCATTATGTTCTTCTAAGTCATCAGCAGTTATTATGTTTTTGGCAACAAAAGCGGAAGATAAATTGGTTGAATTAGAAAAAGGCACTTCCTGTAATTCTATAAGAGTACTAAACTCGTTATCCGCTGTCTCTTTAAAATCGTTGCCTCCTTCGATTTTTATTTCCACTGTTTCAATATTTGTATTACTTTGAAATGAATCGTTGGTTGCAAGATGCACATTTTTGAAATGCAGTAAATACTCTTCGAAACTGAAAGTTTTTAATTCGCAATGTGTGCATATTATTGTAAAACAATTCTCTTTCCGAAAAAATATTTCAGCACACTTTTTATCAACCAACTGTACGAAGGTTTGAGATGTGTTTAGCGCTTTAAGCATATTAATTAAATTTTCTCGCACAAATTTGATTTTGGCGAAATGCACAATGTGAGAAATATTTTTTTATTCCACAAGTGCAATAAAAAATACTTGATCAGCTGATCGTCAACAAATAAGCATCGAAATACCATTGTGAATGTAATACGTGAATAAGAAGTAAAGGTAATGAAGAGAAGTGGACCAAAAATTGCATTTGTTTACAATCGCATTCAACAAAATTTACAGTAAATATCGGAATGCTCAAATTATTACCAAGCACTGCATTTGGCAATAGTGCAAATGCAAAATGTGGTGAAATCTATTGTCACAGTTCCACCGAATTTACCATTATTTGTACACTGTGCGAACTCAAAGCGTTCGACTACCAGGATTTCATGCATCACTGTAAGAATGTACACCTCGAAAACGACTTATTGAAAACAGAAGAAATATTTGTTGAAGTCGCACCATACCTGTCATCAAATGTGAAGGATGAAGCTGAAGCTGAATTCCTGGAAGAGCATGACTTTGTCTTTTCTGATGAAGAAAAGGAAAAGTCAGAGTTACGTATTAGCCAATGGAAAGAGGATAACTCGTTATCTGAACATTCAGACAGTGATACGGAGAATAATTTTGAATCTAATTTTGATGATAAAGATTACATACCACCTGTAGATCAACGAAAGGTATTATAGAATATTTAAGTATACTAATTATTTAGTTATAACACGAGTTTTCACATTCCAGCGAAACGAAAAGCGTAATCGTAAAACCGAGTCATACAAATGTGAAATATGTTCCCGTATCTACAAAAGTTCACATTATCTGCGAACACATTTGGCAAAAACACATAATTCTGAGAGTAGGAAAACCGCCAGCATCCAGTTTCAAAAATGTGATGAATGCACAGGAGAATTTAGGACATTACGTAGTTTAGAGGAGCATTCCCTTTCGGCACATGGTGGTATGAAATGTATGTATTGTGATAAACGATGTACATCGCGAACAAATCAGCTACGACATATGGAAATTCATACACATGGCACGGAACGACGGTTCGTCTGCGATTATGATAACTGTAAGAAAAGTTTCTTTACACGCCGTCAATATCAAGCTCACAAACGCACCCATACAAAAGGAAAGAATTTCATATGTGATATATGTGGCTACTCGTGTCGAGTACCGGAAATGCTTAAAGTGCATTATCGTTCACATACAGGTGAGAAACCGTTTGCTTGCGATGAATGCGGCAAATGTTTTGTATCAAAATCGGCGGTTAGGGAGCATAAAGCATCACATGGCACTGAGCGTCCACATGAATGTAAAGTATGTGGACGCTCTTTTGCAAGGGCAAAATCGCTATACCATCATAATTTCTTACATCTCGCAGAGAAGAAGTTTAAATGCAAGTTATGTGGACAGGCATATGCACAGCTTGCTGGTTTAGCTGGACATATGAGACGACATCGGGAGCAGGGCCATTGCTGATAAGTTCTTGACACAGCTGCATCTTTAAAAAAAGCTAAGTTATTATTCGGTCATTCAAACCATCCAAACCTTTATTACTTTTTAATTACTTATTGTATATGAATAGGGACTATTGAATATTAATTATTAAAAATGTTTTGTTAATCGACAGCTATTTTTGCTTTAATATACATTTATATAGATTTAAGCAATTACAATTATTTACAACGAATAAAAAAGTATTTTTTCTAAAAATACCATATTCATAATATACCATATACAAAATATTAAGTATCTAAGCGCAATAACAAAATTTAAAATGCTTCAAAGCTCACGTCATATTTTAAACATTTTTGTGCGTACTGTTTTCGTGCCAAGTTTTATATAGTACTGTACACATTCTTTTTCGGAAGTTAAATTTGCAATTGGTTTGACAGATGTAGCGGAAATGTTTTTTGAGGAGGTATTTGCAAAATATTAAATATTTTTAAAAACTTATTGGTATTAAAAAATATATGTATATTTTTATTTTCAGATAGAGATTAGTAATATACTCAACTGTGCACATGTGAAATTGCATTTTAAACAAACGCAAAGTACAGTTTACGTTGTACAAGGCAGCAACGACTGCCCACTTCGCTTTACAGTGAGCACTGCTATTAAATTAATTTGCAGTGGTCAATATGCAAGTATTGAATCATTAACTCAATTTAAAAACCTGCATGAGGGCTATGTCCGTATAGTGTTGCTCATTTCAAAAGAAGCTTGTGAAATAACAGCATCATTGGAGTCAGATAACACAAATTTGGAAAGTGATAGTGATAGCGATGCGCCATGCACATCTAAATGGGCACTAAATCGCGAACAGCGACGTAATCAGCGTCAGCTACGTAACACGCATTTATTGCAAAGGCAGCAGCAACTATTTCATAAGGTAGAGGCATTACGCGACTTCCGGTATAGTCCGGAATCGATCGAATACACTCTCGATGCAGGTGCAAAGCAAAAAAGTAGTGTTTTCGAATTCCAATTGAAATTTCGCACGAATATCGATTACATCCTGCGTCAGCCAGAAATATCACGTGGGGGATTTTCCGGAAATTGGTTGGAGTTTATAACAACAAAGTTGAATGGGGCTATGAATCGAGAGTAAGTATCTGATTACTTAATGGCGATGTATGCAGCTATTATATATTGTAGTTTTGCTTCTCATTGTAAGGGAAGAAATTTCGAAATTATTTGGATATTTTGTGCAACTATTTTTAAAAAATCGTTACAATGAGTGTGATTTATTGTCTAAATTAACGACCTGCTGTATTATTGGACACACTGCCTTAGATGTTATGATTGCGGTCGATGCCCTAAAGATTTTCAATGACGTACGCAATACTTTTGAGTTTATTACATGCATGGAATATACAGTATGGTTTCTAATCCCATATAAAGGTCGTTATGTATCAGTGCAAGAAGTGGTAATATTTTTTTTATTATTCGCGGTAAATAATATTAAAGGTTTCTTATATCTATGTTAGAGTGTTGAAAATTTCCAATTTAATAACGTATATACATGCATAAAACTAAAGGCGATGGAACAAAATCCCTGCAGAGAATATATATGGTCGGACGCAGATCACGCAATCCAAGATCTCTTATTTATCGCATTCCAGTTGGTCATATGTTTTCACCTCAAGCGGGGTGTTGTCTATTTGCAAGAAGAATTGAAGAATGTGAGTGCTAATATTTTACTTTTCTGTAGCTCATATGTCTTTAATAATTCATGATTTAGGTTAAAGATTATCAGACTATGCAATTCGTAGTAACGGCTTATTTACAGAGAAATGGAAATGGTCAAAAGGTAAGGTATACCACTTTGCCTATATAGGTAAATGTTTATGTATACATTTATTTATTTTTCCAAATAGTTTTGGCCACAAAAATATTATTTACAACAAATTTTAAAAGCTTGTAATAAAATGCGAATTACTGCTATTATTGACTATCCTGGTGGCTTGCCAGTTACACCCCTCTCTGGAAACTTAATCAAATGCTACAAAGATGAATGTAGCGGTAGATGGGAATTAAAAGTGGAAGAACGCATGAGTTCCTGTAGTAGTGAGCAATTCATCAGTGAATTGCAAGCCGGCTTACAAAGTCATTCAATTTAATAAGTTCTGAGCCGAAATATTTGTAAAAACAAAAAGTTGCGGTAAGTAAATATTATACTTCAGCAAACATGTATGTATGTACATTAGTATGAAGATATAGATCATGCTCAATTTATTTATATATGCAGAATAGTTTTAAGTTAAACAATCAGCAATTAATATGAAAACCATTAAGAAATTTTGACTGTTGATAATCGCAATCACAAAACCACATTATTTCTGTAAAAACAACTTACTTCCTTGCGAACATATCCATGAATTTAAAAAATTGTGTTATATATACATATGTGTCAGGTGTGTTTTCGGGAAGTTCATACAATACAAATTTGGCAGCACTGCTGCTTGTTTGTCAGTTGTGCAAATAAATAAACAATTGCTTATCAATATCGTATAGAAGTAAATGTTTTAGTTTTTGTGTGTGAAAAATGATGCGGAATTGCACATTACCAACAAGTTATGAACAAAATAGAACCAGTATACGTTGCGGTGAAATAATTTGTTATGATAACGTAAATTTCACTATAATTTGTGTGCTTTGCAAAATGAAACTTTTTGAGTTTGACGATTTTATGTTACACTACCAAAATGTACACCTTCGAGGCAATATACACGATAGTGATAGTGATAACGACGCGGATGGTGAATTAGAAGAATGTATTAAAGATGAGGAATTTGAAAATGTCGAATATCTAGCTGAATTGGATGAATGTGGTGTGAGAGTGGAGGCTGTCTTACAGCCCTCACGTGTTTTGGATGAAGTAACTTCCAACGAAAAGCAAAATGTGCCCATCAAGGCAGAAGTCATAGAAACGGCATATAATGACACGTTGAGTGAATATGGTGAAGTTATGGGTGTTGATAATTCTAAACCGAACGAGTTCGAGAATGAAGAATTTGATGATGATGAATGGACAGGCAGTCAAGGAGATGATGATAATCATATTTTAAAAAAGGTAAATGGATGCAATGCCGTACTAAGTGATTTATTACAAGTAATTCATTTTTTTAGCCTAGAAAGCCCAAAGAGTACTCATGTGCACATTGCCAAAAACGTTATACCACAGAACGTATATTAAAGCTACATATAAACATGAAACACCTGCGACCAAAAAAATTCAAATGCGAACAATGCCCAGAAGAATTTGTGGAGCAACGTTCACTAGATTCACATGTGCGGAAAGAACACATAGGATTTCAGTGTTCACAATGCGAACGTGTTTATAAAAATTCCCGTTCACTACGCATACATATGAAAGCACACAAGGGTATAAAGGAATTTATATGTGATTTCGAAAATTGTGGCAAAGCATTTATTACTTCATCACGTCTGAAAGTGCATCAAAAAATTCATACAGATGAACGCAACTACATATGCGAAGTTTGTGGTTATCGTACACGACAAAAGGATGCTTTAGTTGTACACAAGCGCACACACACCGGAGAAAAGCCTTTTGAATGTACTATCTGTAGTCGACGATTTATTTCTGCCTCGTTACTAAACGAGCACAAGCCTATGCATTCTACTGAGCGTCCACATAAATGTGATGTATGCGGTGCATCATTTTCACGGAGCAAAGCGCTCTACCACCACAAACATTTACACCTGGGTATTAAGAAGTTCGTTTGCAAAATATGTGGTCGTGCCTATGCTCAAATGGCAGGTCTAGCGGGACATATGCGACAACACAAAGCAGAAGAACAAAGTCTACTAAGTTAATTTTTAACTAATGTTTATTGAAAATTCGCTACATGTGACATTAGATTTATTCCATTAAATATAATAAGCAACATTAAGTCATTAACATTTAAGCAATTAATACTCGTAACAACGTTGTTTATAATCAAAGCGCAACAAATAAATATACGTTTCCAAACATATAATTACAAAAATACTCTGAATGCATGGTATGTATGTACATGGTATGACATTATGTATATTTACTTATGCCCACACGCGTATGGTGTAATCCCAACTTCCAGTGGATAATGCAGTACCGTCTGGCGATACCTGCACACAGGATACCTTATTTTCATGACCATATAATAGACAAATACGTTCCGATTTAAGCGTATCCCAGAGATTCACTGTGTAATCATTATAGCCGGCAAATAGTAAACGGCCACTCACTGAGAAGTCTACGGAGTTAATACCAAAAATAATGCTCTCCTTAGCGAACACAGCTACTTCCCTATCGGCACGCATATCGAACAAACGACAGCTACTATCGTCTGAGCCAGTTGCTATGGCATCGCCACTAGGATGAAATTTAACGGTATTAACGTCTGACTGGTGTCCTTCAAACGATTGCACCACATGTCCTGAACGCATGTCCCATATGAAGGCCATACGGTCACAACTGCCAGAAACGAATGTATTTCCGGTTTCATTTGGAGCTAAATCAATCGCCATAACATCACCAGAATGCCCGTGAAAGCTTTGTAGTAATTGTCCGCTTTCAACATCCCACAAAGCACATGTAGAATCACCGCTTCCCGTAAGGATTTGCTGATCGGAATTTGGATAAATACAGCATGACATGTAGCTAGTGTGCGTACCAACTGTTCGCTTTTTAGCAGCCATCTCATCATCTGACATTATCGGATAAACGGTAACTTTATTGTCTAAACCACCACAAGCAACAAAATTGCCTGATGGAGAATATGCACATGCCATAATCCAAGTGGTGGGCATGGTAATGAAGTGTTCTTTGTTTGTGGTGAATGCGTCCCAAATGATGAGACGCCCGTCCTGCGATGAAGAAATTATGTGACGCTTATCTGGACTCCAATCTGTACATAGAACTTTTGCCTGGTGACCTTTGAGTACTTTACGCGGTTTTATATTGACAAAAGCAATCGGCTCGAGTCGTTCAGCAACAGTCCATAAATTAATATCATTCAATTTAGCACGTTCTTCCTCAAGTTTGATTTTCAAATTTTCCGCCTCCTTCAACAAACTGGCCATCTTATCACTGGCATTAGGCGTAGGAGCACAATCAGCCATTATTCACCAAAATATTGCTAAATATAGTTATCCCAACGATAGAGATAGTTTTTATATGAAACGCTCGGAATTTTGCTGCAGATCCTATGTATACAACGTTGAATACACAAAAATCAATATTTGTTTACAAATACAATATTCTGATCAGAATACACTGAAATGGCCGCATTGGCTAAATACCGTAATAAACGTAATAAATTTTGTTCTTAATTATATGAGTTGTGTAATTTTCGTAATAACGGAAAACATTGAAATAATTATTAGCATAATATAAAATATGTATTTAGTTACACAAACCTAAGAGAATAAACATTGAAAACTCTGGAGAAATTTAAAAAAAAATTAAGCTAAGAAATAATTATAAAACTTGACATCACGCATTAAGTCACGTTGTGAGACTTGGAAGCACTGCACAATATTTCTGACATTTGCTAATAAAACAAGTAATTTTTTTGTTGTCGTGGATTTCAACATTTCCTAAAACAATACCATTTATTGCACATAAAAGAAAGGATTTTCATTAAAATTAAACACAAAAATGTTAAAACTTTTGCCGCCGGATACGAGCAAATTTCATAATTTCAAATGCGGTGAAATATTTTGCCTCAGCACGAATACCTACAATGTGGCGTGCTGTTTATGTGGAGCAAATGTAGCGTTTGAACAATTTCCACAACATTTCCAAGAGGAACATTTGACGCCCAAACCCGAAAAAGTGGAAAAATCCACCTTAGATACAAGTACAAGTGATAGCATCAAAATTGATGTAGATCCTATCAAAAGCGAAGAAGAATATATAAGTGACCATGGCGATGGTTCTGTTGGTTACGAAGCTCCAGATTCAGAACCCGAAGAAGTGATTGATGAAAAGCCTTTCGACTTTGTTGACTTACAGAATCTAGGAGTAAACATAGTTGAACCGGAAAACAAACGTAAACAGAAAAAGGTTGAAGATGTTGACGACATCAGTGACACTAAGTCGTGGGAGGATAAGAGTGATGTCGAAGATGAAGATTGGCGACCTCAAGATTCATCGGGCGACGAGGTAAGTTTTCTACCTGGAAATAACGAAGTTTTTCCCTCTGAATTTTTTTGTAAATATTCTTATTAATTGCATCGTAGAAGCCAAAACCGCAAGATGACATTGATTCACTTCCATATCCATGCCCGGACTGTATGCGTTCATATAAAACTAAACGCAGCATGCTAACACATCATCGACAAACACATAATCCAAAAACAAAAAAATCGAAAGAGCCAAAGTTGAATTTCAAATGCGATGAATGTGGTGAATGTTTTAAAGCTGAAAGAAATCTACGTGCCCACAAGTGGAAGCATACTGGCATAATATGTGATATTTGTGGCAAGAAATTCTCTCAAACTGGTAACCTGCAACGACATAAAATACGTCACACTGGCATAAAGGCGCACAAATGTCAGGAATGCGGCAATGACTTCTTCACTGATAAAGAGCTGAAGGCACACATGCTGCGCCATACCGGCGAGAGGCCGGTTGTTTGTGAGATATGCGGTAAACGGTGTCGTGATCATGGCGTATACAAAGCGCATATGCGGCGACACACAGGCGAACGGCCAGCAAAATGCGACGTTTGCGGTAAAGCTTTTTACAGTTTCCACGATTTAAATGTACACGCGGTGACACACAGCACCGAACGACCATTTGCATGTGACATGTGCGGCTCAACGTTCCAGCGAAAAAAATCATTACGCGTACACAAAAAATTACATTCTAAAGATCGGAAACATGAATGCAAAGTTTGCGGCAAAACATTTGCACAATCCGGCGGTTTGAATGCGCATATGCGAACACACGATGCCGCATTAAGTCGGAGCATTGTGGGCAATACCAGTGCCAGTATTAGCGCTATACCTGGCCCGATAGTTGCAGATGATGTTGGTGTCGGTGTCGGTGTCGGTGTTAATCATGTTGGCGTTGGTAGCGCTAATGTCAACATGGGCATTGCTGGTGGTGTTGGTGTAGCTCTTGGTACGGTAGTCAATCCAGTTAACTCAATAGGGGAGGCCTTGTTGGGTGTGACTGGTGTGCTAAGTGGGACCGGCTCAACAATAGATACTGTCAACAATTAGTTTTATGGAAAATACACTACAATATCATTGTATGTATGTATGTACACGCATATATGTTTGTGTATGTTTTTGGTATAATTTTAAATTTACATTTTTATGCTAGTGTAAGACTATCCCTCTTCAAGAAATGCGTGTGCAATTAACTGTAACACGCCTCCGTTTAAAATAAATCAAGTATTCTGATATACATAGATTAATGTGTAAAACTTTTATTTACTATAGTATACGCAGCTTTCTCACAGCTGGCACAGTCTCTACATAGTCTACACTTTATTTTTGTAAACTTCTATCAGTCAAAATGCCGAAAGGCGACTCCTTATTAGTTGTAAAGTAATATATGCCTGACTTTTGTGCAATTTGCAATGGATCACCAACTTGCACATCTCTTCTATTTGTATTGCAACCAGATTTACCGGTTATGTCATTATAGCTCAAACACTCGTATATAGGCGTAAAAACGTAACCGCTCAAACTTTAGCATATAACGTTATGCTACGTCCGTGTGAGCAAGTACCAGTTAAATCAACACCGCAACCGGGTTGTTTAAGTCCCCAATTCGGATAGAATGCTGCTGATCCAATCGGTTGTTGAAATCCCTTTAAACTACGATTCGTCTGTATGCTCAGCACAAATTTGGCATCGTTAGTGCATAAACGCGTACTAGCGTCATTATAGCTGTAAAGCGGCGATGCTGGATCCAAACCAACAATGCCAGCAATCTTTCCACGTTTCACAATCTTCCCACAGTAGCCTGCCACATGTGCACCCAAACTGTGACCCACCACAACAACTTTGTCAAAACTCAAGTTAAATTGTTCATGCAGGAAATCCAATAGATTGGCGATATCTTCACTCACAATGGGCACTTTTGCACGTGATGATATATAACTCAGTACGGCATAAGTACTCCAATCGACGGAGATTATATTATGATCTTCTTGTGCTAAATATGCACGCCGTAGTTCATTATTTGGTTTAGTTAAGTATGACCCAGTCCAGCCGTGAATTATAATTCTGAAATATGTTGAAACTATTGAACAAATTTCATAAATTACCAATCTACTAACTTACTTTGTATGGCGCGTTTTGTCGAAGTATGATTTTTTCACGGAATTAGCATCGTTAATACGAATTTCTTGCGGTTTCTCAGGATTTGCAGCGATGTACAGATAAAAACGCACATCATCACTGTTGCGTGTTTGACTTGTATCCAGTGTGCTTTCGCGCAATGGGAGTGCAATTGTGGTAGCTTTTAAATACAATATCGATATTATTTTAAAGATATGCTATATCGAAGATTGTTTTATTTAAAACACATGGAAATGATTGAAATTTCCGAAATTTTTTGCAACAAATTAATAAGTTATGATACCTAAAATGCTGCAAAGCAATACCAGCAATACTTCCACGATTAGCTGTTCACGAAGAACGGTGCACGCACAATTTGTTTGAGAACCGTTATTATATATAGTCAGAAAAGAATCTTTGAAAATCTAATCTGATAGTCGATGAAGGCAGTTTAAAAAGTGAAATTGATTAGATTTCCAAATCATTTCAAAACAACGCGCATATTTAACGCACCACCTTTTTTTGGTGATTTATGGATCTTGAATCTATCATGTACACGTGTTAAATGTTTGTTTATAAAATTCGTGATTTTTGTCAACAATTTATGAGCCCTTAGAAACAAATATGGGCTTATGCACATATTGACAACTTATTTATATATCAAGCGTATCTGATTGTATTTCATGCCAAAAATATGCTTAAATTGCTTTGTGGTTGGGTAACTGAATTCAGCAAATAGCACGTTTAATTTCATAATAGTGATTCAGCAAATAGCACGTTTAATTTCATAATAGTGCAATGTCTTTACAATTTTTACTTATCAGACACACAAATCCCTTAAAAGCATGCAAGACATGTTACTTCCGATTTTTTCTTCAATTCCGGCGGTTATTGTCAAAAATGCTAACATTACAGTTGTTTTTGTAGTGTAGTTGTGCGTGCTATATGTGATAATTTTTTGGGTTTGGTATTGAAAATATCTGAATCTATTTAATCACACAATTACACTTTATAATGTGTTTCCATATGTAGATTAAATTAAATGTAAGACTGCTCAACCAATATAAACGTTATTTAATTTATATAATTTAATACGTTTCATAACACTGCTGTCTGTCATATGTGCAATTTGACACTTTACGCGTTAATTTATTTTAAGTGCGCGTATTTCTAAACAATAATTTAAAAATTTTAAATAATTTGAAAATTTGCAAATATTGACCAAAATAACTGTGTAATAAATTGATACAATAAATGAGGGAAATTGTAACGCCAAACGCAGCTATTTCGGAAGTTTAGTTTCTTTGGGTCATGCCTCAAATTTAATACTGATTATGTGCTTTTAAAACTTTTTAATATTTTATATAATCTCAAGGTAATAATTTAGTAGAGTTATATTAAAATTTATTTTAATATCAGATATTACGTGCTGAAAAATTATTATTATAAGTATAAAATACTGAACAGGATTAAGAATTTTGTGAAACATTACGAGGTTTGACCAGTTACGTTCCGAACGTTAATAGAAAATATTTAGACAGATTTAGAAAGTGAAATATATATTTTTTGTATGGTAAACATACATGTATTTTTGCAACTGATAGTTACTGTCTTTTTTTTAAGCGCCTAAATTAATTATATCTGAAGGTATCTTACCAAATTTATTTGATTAACCAAATATTTTGCGTGTACTCATGCAATGATTTGACTGTCCCGCGATGTTTGTTGAGGAAAATAAAATGAAGATATATTTGAATTTATAATTTCTTTTTTTATAATTTTAATATTTATTCATATGTATATTTTATAATATCGTATAGCAAATACCTTCAGTATTGCAGTTATACTTTAGTTTTTGTATATAATTTGGAGCGATTTCAGTTGCCGTACAAAAACCCAAAAAGGGCAACATACCATCTAAAAATGTTTTACAACTATAAGTACAATTATATATGTATTTTTATCAAGTATTTATATGTATATATATGTGTACATGTATGTATGTATTATATATACTTTTGCTGAAGGGATTAAAAAATTGTAACAATAAATTAGTATAAAATATAATATAAAAAGGCTACTATATACAACTTAATAACACAACACCATACATACACAAATATTTAGCAACTTATATAAAATACGGTATAATATTTACGTATATTTTTCAAATTAAATTGTACAAATAAGTGGATTAACTGTGACATTATTTTTTTTAAGTGTGTAGTGCCAAATAATTGTAGCTCAGTTTAATTAAAATGTGTTATATCACCTAATACTGACACCAGCGTATAAATAGCGCTATTAAAATCGCAGCTCACGAAATATTTGATTCGTACATAGGACCGAATAACAGTACATGTCTGTATGCACATAGTTATGTACATATATGCCTATTTATATTACATATAAATATTTGATTTTGATACATTTTTTGTAAATTCTCACTTTATACTCGTATATATACATACATATATGAGTTGTATACTTGTTAAATGCGTTTAAACTCCGAAAGTTTTTTTTTCCAAATATTACGAGTACATAATTTTTCAATGAAACTAGAAATAGTGATTTGGATTTACGGACCCGCATTAAACCTCGCTCACCATTTGTGGAGTACTCAGTTACTTTGCCACAATATTCTCTTCACTAACTTTAAACTATATTAATTTGTATTTTGATTACCAGCTTGTCATCTTCACAGAAGCCTTTATGCATGACATCCGCTATCTTAGCATATTCTACAAAACCAAATCCACGCGTACTTATGTGCTCCCGTGGTTTATGGAAGGCCATGACTTCGGGCTTTGTCATAATTGTATCGTGTTGCGAAAGATTGGCATCTGTTGGATGTATCATGCACAGTTTGATGCGTCCATTAAAAGGCCAATCCAAATGGTAATCGTTTTCGGATTGCATTAAATGTACATGTAAACTCAATAAGTTCAAGTGTCGTGGCTGTATGTTCACGCGCGCACAAAACCGATAGCCATGCGGCGAGGTGTAAAAATCACGTGAATAAAGTAGATTATTGGCATCGGCACGCAATTGCTCCACCACATTGCGGAAATTTGTTATTTCCCATACAATTGTGCCATTACTATAGCGTGGATCGATTTGTTGACGACTAGCCAATTGCTTTGTAAGATTTTCCAATTTTACATCTTGCTCGCGTACGCGTTGCTCCAGCACTACAATACGTTGGTACATCGTTTGTATGAGTTGTTCGTCTGCCTCGTTTGCGTATTGTGGCGGTGGTGGTGGTAGTACACCATTTACCTTCGCACCACTCGCAGTTGTTGGTTTTTGTGGATTCCAAGTGGAAATGGCTGTTTGTTGGAAAGCTTGCAACATTAATTGCATATGATGTGGCATGTCTTCTTTAAGATGCTCTTCGAGTGCGTTGGTTTCAGGGCGCCCAACAAAGTCACATTTTATGCTGGCGAATGGGCACTTTTCTTCGGCGTTCTCTAGTCTTCTGTATGGACAGGTCGGCAAATGTCGATCCACTTCTATGGGCGATGCCACTACTGCACAACCCAATGGCGAATTAGGACATTTGTGTTTGATTTGTTCTATTTCACGTCTAGTGAAATTATCCGGAAAAATATCATGGTCAATAGAAAGCTCTGTATTGTCCAGTGGACACTGATTGTGATTATTAAGCCATTTCGTTAAGCAAGATTTGCAAAACCGATGACCGCAAGTGGTGATCACTGGTTCATTAAGCCAATGTATGCAAATAGCACATTCATAACGTGCATCCGATTCATGAAAGTCAGTATCATCTGAAGTGGTTGAAGCTGGTGCGGGTACATATGACTTGGAGATCGCTAACGAATTGGGCGGTATAGACGATGGTGATTTGTTGTTTTCTGTATAATGGTGATGATGATGCGAGTGTCCCTGCTGATACGGTTGCTGCTGTTGTTGTCTGGCTTGCCTGCCTGTGTTAGTTTGTGAATTTTGCATCTTGCAACATTAGAAAAAGCACAGAAAAAGTGTTTTAAAAGAAAAACACACACTAGCACTTCATTTACAGGTGAACAAATTAATTGTGAAAAGGTGCAAACATAAAATATCTGTAAATAGACTAAAGGAATGTTTACGAGTACCTATCGATTTTCTTATGTGCACCACTTTGACAGTTGCTTATCGCGATTTTTGTTGCGAAGACACGGTTGCATTTGGAAGCGTTATTGAAGGTCTGGAGGGTAAAGTTATTTAGCATGCTATTAAAAATATTAAGCCGATTCACTAGAAAAAAAGCATGAATAATTTGTATATAAGTGAGCGCGCAGATCTTTAGGAGAGAAAACAGATTCAGCTATTGTAATTATATGTCTGAATATGTTAAAATTCCATCACTCACTGTAATTGTTCTATTTCATTAATTTTGAAATTTTGTAACTAGTTATTTAGACGTTTTTTTTACAAGATACTCTGTAAACTCGAAACGTCGCTATCCATAACCGGAAATTCGGTTTTCGCAGTGCGGAAATGTTGATATTTGCTGGAAACACTTAACAATTGCAATCAAATTTATAACTAACACAAACACGAAGCTGGAATTTTCCTAAAGGGCTCATCATCCACTCTTTTGTTTAACTTCATTGTATCTCTTGCATGTTTTTCGTTCTCACACATTGTGTACCTTCAGTTCGCTAGACTCATCATTAAATTAGCGAATTTTGCCGTACACGACGAGCCCCACCAACAACACTTGTTCTAGTAGTATATAAACGCATGATTGGCCAAGGGGCGGTTAGTCATTTAGTCAGTGTCATCTGTGTTGCAAAGAGACGCACATACGGCTAGAAAGTGCTAGAAGCTTTGATCGGAAACAAAAATTTGAATATATATACATACATATTTCGGAAACTTTAATTCTAACAAGCGGAAAGGGAACTAAATAGAAATAATCGTTCGTTCACTATTTTTTGATTTTGTTGTTGTTATAACTGAGAGACATTTCAAACAAGTGAAACATTATGACAAATTATCATAAGCTGTGTCTATATGCTGTGTTTTTGTTGTTGTCCTGCTGTACCACACAGACATGGTCAGCATATTTGCCAGTAAATGAGGAACATAACCTAAATCAATTGGAAGGGTTACAAAAGCAACAATCTCAGCGGTATTTATATACAGAACGTCCAGCAGACAAAAGCCAAATCATCAATAAGGGCGAAACGCGAAGCGCGGTTGATACGACCGCAACAGCAGACACCAACAATGCTGCAATACCAGCATGGTACAGCGCCACAGACGAAGATACCGCTACGCTGGGTAATTGGCAATTGTTACCTCATGGATCATACGATAAAAACGATGACGTAGTGGCTGGCAATGCGCCAATACATGCGGTGGCGTGGTCTGATCGTGCGTACGAAAATAGCGATGTGTACGATGCATTTGACAGCGACGGCGACACCGAATTGGACAGCGACAACGACAACGACATGAACAACGGTGAAACCGGCGAAGAGTTAACCAACGCATATAGTGTTTTGAGTCGCAAGCGACGCGGTTTCGATGATTGGCTCATAGCGCCGCATACACGTTGGTGTGGGCGTGGCAATAATGCCAACAACAATTACAACCAACTTGGTGGCGCTTCAGACGCGGATAGATGTTGCCGGCGACATGATCATTGTCCCGTTTACATATCGGCATTCAGTAATCGGTATGAAATCTTCAACTATCGGCCATACACATTGTCGCATTGCAGTTGCGATCGACGTTTCCGTGCCTGCCTGAAAATGAACAACGACGAGCCGTCGAACACCATCGGACAGCTCTTCTTCAATATGGTGCCATCACAATGTTTCATACTACGTAATGAACGGCATTGTTTGGAACGCGATGCGAAGGGTAACTGCGTAAAGGAGACAACGCGAAAGCATGCCTATGTGCGGGAAAATGAAAAGTACTAAATATTACGTGTGCTCACATAAATATACTTGTACATGTATGTGTGTAGCGACGAAGAAGTTGCCACAAAAGGCATGCAGAAATGAGACTGGCCAGTTTATTGAGCGTAATTGGGCTTACGAAGCCTTACGAAGCTAATGCAGGTGTAAAAGAAATATCGAGAAAATATAATTAAAACAAAATCAGACACAAAGACGATTTAAACATTTTGTTTGGTACGCGTGTTGTATGTGTACAAGTATGTGCAGCGCTAGCTAATACAAGGCCGTTAAATGGTGTGATTGATATGCAGTTACTATGCATAGCTATGTATGTACGTAACGTAAACGCGTTTCAAATTCAAATGGTTTACCGTAAGAGCGCAGCTAACTATACATTTGAGTCACCTTGTGTCTGCTATAATTGAATGATTTGTTTAGAAACAGCAAAAATGTAAATAAAATAAGTTTCGATGTCATGCCAATATTTTCTAAATGATATTACGTGTATGTCTGATATTAATTAAGATTGAGCATACACAATTTTAGTCATTATTTATTTTTATACATATCTGTAGCTTATATAGAGCGACTATCGTATTCCAGAATACTTGTGCAGAACATAACGGCTGTAATACGATAAACTTGTTCCAAATGTCTCGATGTTGTATTGTACTAATAGTTTAACACATAGACGCTTAAAATTATACGTACTTTTCGAGCAATAAGAAGTTGAAGAAGTAAATACATATATATATAAGTTAATCTTAAAAAAATAGAAGAGTAGTATAAAAAAAACAGTAGGCGCTGCAAAGCATTACTATTTAATAGGATTAAGCTTAGTAATTAGAAAAAAAGCGTAAAAAATAAATTAAATTGTTACATTGATTGTACGCGTACGTTTGCATATAGAATTACACATACATACATATATAGTACTGTCAAAATATGTACCATTATTAAACACTATAGCTCACAAATAAAAATATGAAAGAATTAAAAAAAAACGTATTTTTACTATTTTAAACAAAAGTTTTTAAGCAATAAAAATATTAGTTTCATGTATGAGAAATAAAATAACTGAATAATAAAATTATAAAAAAATATATCGGTGTCATTTAGCTCTGGTCTAATATGAAAGTTCTATGTAGATAATTTTTGAAAACAAAAAAATCATAGTAGACATGATTCAATTAAAACAATGTGTCAAACATAATTGGATCCATAATGTCTAAATCAGTCATTTTGCTTTGTATTGTTTTGATTTTATAATACAAAAATAAATTTTCCACACATTTCAACCAATTAAAATGCGTTTTTTGAGTGATAACTGAATACAAAATCATCAAATTGTAAAAAGAAAATTTATAAAAAAATATGAAAGGAAAATAAATTTACGGGCGGTCTAAAGTCGGGTTCTATAGACAAAAATTATGGATATGAAAAAGATCTAAAGCTTTTGTTTTAACACCTTTATCACAGAACCTAAAAATTTGTCTAAAAAATTAAACAGAAAATTTATAAAAAAAATATGAAAGGAAAATAAATTTACGGGCGGTCTAAGGTCGGGTCCTATAGACAAAAAATATGAATATGAAAAAGATCTAAAGCTTTTGTTTTAACACCTTTATCACAGAACCTAAAAATTTGTCTAAAAAATTAAAATAAGCAAATTTTAGTTTTGTTATCTTTTACAAAAAATTTTTTGCTTTTGCGTAAATTGTGCTAATCTAACCTATTTATTTCCCAAACACGCTGCAAATTTTCTTTTATTTAAAATATTTATTTTTCCACCTTTTTAACTTAATATCGGGAACACAACCGTAATTTTCAAATCGAAAATTTTCACAAAAAATATGAACCACAAAAAAAAAATTCAAAAAAAAAAAAAAACAAATAAAAATTTAAATAAATTATAGCATTGTACTATATTAATGAATAATAAAAATTTTCAATATAGGAATATATTAAAAAAAATCCCGTGCGAATTGTATGCATTCGATATTTATGATTCCTATTTGCAATAAGTAGATTTTTTACAGCAGAGAAAATCCTATTTAATATTTGAATAAACGGTGTTTTTGCTTTCAAAATACAGATTTTTTAAGTAGTTAACACTCAAATAGTTACTACACAACCCAAGCTTTTCGTTCCTTCATCATTAGTGTTCCACTTTGTTACATGTTCGATCAGGTTTCATTTCATTATGTTCGTCTCACGCTCTTTTCTTTTTATAAAAAAACAACGTAAATATAAATAAATATTAGATATTAATTTGAAATTTGATTTTATTCATCGGAAAGCATTAATTGCATTCTTACGTTCCTATAACAGCATTACCGTTGACAAAGAGGTACATATATATGTTATGTAGGTTTATTTTTTAGCATACATATGGTACGTACGTAGGTTTTAGAAACTTTTTCTCATCAAATCTGTAGTTTGAACTTTGAGTTGCCTTGTTAAAATCTTTATATGTCTTGCATTAAAAATGGCGTATTCATAAATAAAAAACACACACATACACACATTAACACATGCTCACACGCGTATTTACGGACAAAATTGAACGATGGATCCGTCTGCTAATTTGAGCTTATCATCAAGTTAATATTTGGAAGGAGAAAAAAACCACAGACACACCGAAATCGTCAGCAGAGTTGCTCGAATATTTAAATAAATAAATACATATGTATGATTGTGTATGTATATGCATGTCCATATTTACCGCAGACTATTAAATGCATTTAAGCTTGTATTTGTTTACGTAGTTTACGAATAATAGTTCTGTGTTTTCTCTACCCCTTGAAGCTATTAGTTCTGTTCTCGCATATACATACATATGTATATGTATGTTCATATAATAATAATATATTTAAAAATATTTATTATTTGTTTACTAATTTACACTCTATGCCGACTGAATTATTTGTATACGAAAAATTTGTATTTTTTACAATCAATAAAATAACAAAATCGCGCGTGTACAAAAGTCTATGTCAAAAGGCTATGAGAAGAAAATTCTGAAATTTTCGAATGGTTCACGATCAGTATTACTGGCTGGTCATGCATTCGGCATTCTTTATCATTCTCGAAAAATATGCAGTTAATAATTAGTACACATATGCATATGCAATAAACTTAAGTTATTACTTTGCTATCGATTGAAAACTCAGATTTAGAAAAAGTTGCGATTTTTTTGGTATATTTTTGTATTATTATGTTTTTGTTTTTAATGAAACTCGCACATGTAAACAAATATTTTCCAACAAATTTTATTATAATTGAAAGAACCCTCGGACTGATAAGATTTATAGTTTTATATTTAATTAAATATAGAAATTCCAGGAGCCAGGGTCATAACACGCCTCTTTATTTTATATAGAAATATTTCATATACTTGATTTTAATCACACATACACAATTGAAAAAAAAGAAATGCTTAGTGAATAATGATTTTGCACCACAACTACTCTCTCTTTTAAAGCGTAAAATGTAAGAAAAAGTATTTCAGACATATTTATGCATTATTTAATATGTAAATAAATATATCTCCATCAAAATAATGGAATATGCTAGAAAAATGGTCCAACTTAACGTTAACTGTAATTTAAAGCATTGAACATGATTAAAATTAATTCGCCAGCCAAAATCTGTCTTTTCCCGCCTGATTGCTTATAATCATTAAAACGGAACTTAATATTTATGTACGCAATTAAATTTATAAATATGTACATACAAATGTACATGAATACATTTACATATATTATATTTATGTGCTGTGACGTAAATGCAAATGTCCGAAAAATTGACTGATAAGACCGCAGCCCATGTCAAAGTACAAAATACGTTATTATTAGTACATTTACATGTGCTCACGTAAAATGCGGTGACTTTTTGAAATAAGTTTTTAAAATAATTTAAATATTGTTACAGGTGTTTCTTACTAATCAGTACTGCAATTTCTAATTAAGGTATAATTTATAACCATATGACCTTGTCGTTATATATAGTTTATAAGCATCTGTAACACCCTGCAATGAAAATTATGTGTTTACGTTTGTTAGCTACAAGCAATTTATTAAATGCAGTTATGTTTTTCAAGTGCATTTTATCTGTGCGTGTTAACAAATGTTGCATAATTTGAAATTTTTGCCAAATTCGCATTTATTGTTTGCCAAATTCGCGTTATCTATCATAACAATTGCGGAAAGTGCATTAAAATCTTTACACACAAATGTAAGTCTTCTATTTTTGCCGTCCGTGACAAGAAATTTCGATTTGAATAATGCAAAACATATTAACCAAAAATATACAGCGCTTGTTCAACAATTTTGTTTCAAATTTAACTTTGTTTTTACAAAAATTTAATTATGACGAAAGCATCAACCGCGTTGCTCAGTTGGTTTGAGTGCGAGACGACCGTTTGCAAGAAAAATTCTAAGGTTAAAGAAAATTTTGTTCGAACAGTGTTAGCCCTTCATAAAGGTACAGGGCACAATAGACCATAGGTCGCGGTGCATACCTCAATCACTATCTATCATAAAGGTACATATACCCAGCCTTCACTTTTGTTTCCGGCACAAATATACTGCTGTGAAAACTTTCACGCAATTAGCTAGCTTCTATTGATACCACACAACTTTTGCGGAAAATGGCACTCTACAATTAGCACACTATTTTACATTCGGATTTAAAATTCCAGTGAAATAATTACATTTTTAATAATAAGGCGTATCAATTGAACCAGTTAAACCTATTAAACAATATTCTCATAAACGTCAGTTAATTGTAAAAACTGTATAAATAACATAACTAAGTTCAAGTTTACGTCGTTACTCATGCAATACGCATAATTATAAAATGTAAACAAAAACAAAAATATTGCATAAAACGTTCGAGATCATCGAGATCAATTGCATATTTTGTTGTTCACTCGATTCTATTATTAATTTTATTCGAGAGAAAAACAGCATTTTCGCTTCGTCAATTCGATGAATTCCTAGTGACGCATTGTTTGCTAGAGATTAAAGTCTAATAGCTCTGTGGAATTTCATTTTGATAAAGGCGTAATAGACATATGAAATGTGATTAAATTTTATATTTACTTACAGATAAGATAAGAGGCTTGATCGACGAGCTAATAATATAATATATATGATATAAAGTTAATATACAACTAATTGAAGATGTTACCTTAATAGCTGCAAAAAAAAACATACAGGTACGTTAATACGAAATTATTTTATACTAATTTACCGTAAAACGTAGTAAAATTATTTATATAACAAACATGCTAAAACTGAAAAAAATAAAACTTAAAAAAATTTCATTTTTTGCCACAATTTGAAACTTGAACCAATTACATTTGATTGCTGCTAGCCTTCACGAGTCATAATTGGCAACCCAATTTCTGCTGCTTCATGTCATATCATATTCGTGCTCGAGTAAAAACAAAACTAATTCCCTTATATTTCGAAGATATTGAAAAGTGATAAGACAATTAATAAGAATACGAAGACTGCAAGTTATTGCTTTTTTTTTATCAACAACTTAGCAAACAATTGTTTGTAAGTAACTATGCGGTCGCCTTGTGACTTCCCACCGAGCCGCGAGAGTCACCTAAGCACTGACCAGAGACGGTGCCTGCTTTTCTTATATAGAGGCAGCTGCTGGCCAGTTGCGCGTGAGGTCGCCTCGTGACTTTTAAATCACATCACATCGAGCCGCGAGAGTCGCCTAGGCATGGTGCCTGCCTTTCTTATATAGAGGCAGCTGCTGGCCAGCTTGCCGTGAGGTCACCTCATGACTTTTAAATCACATCCCATCGAGATGCGAGAGTCACCTATGCACTGGCTAGGCACGATGCCTGCTTTTCTTATATAGAGCCAGCTGCTGGCCAGCTTGTCGTGAGACCACCTCGTGACTTTTAAAACAGATCACAGACGCGAAAGTCACTAAAGCAGGCACGGTATTACGGTGGCCACTACACAACGATGGAAAATACTTGCTTTTGGTTCTTTTTGGCAGAAGAGACATTAAGCTAACTTTAAAAGCATACGATTAAATTTCTTGCACTTTTTCCTTCATAAGCTGATGATTCTATTTTATTCCCGTGGCGGAAATACGTTCAAGTTCAAACGTACTTATGCGCCAACTCAGGAATGATTCGTTTCAACTTCGAACATTCTCTAAACTGAATTCAAAGCTCCCCAGCATCATATTTTCAACATCACGAACATTTTTCTGAAGACTTGTAACACGCTCGAGAAATTTCTGAAGAAATCAGGCTTTGAAGAAAGACTGCTCTGTCATTCCCACAGTTGTTCCACTTAAAAAAATAAACGCTGCTTATGTCAGAGTTTCTGAATTTAGTCAGAGATTATGGATGATATGAGGAACGATTCGAATTTGTGCCCAGCTGGCAGTTCACACCTCTGACTTTCCGAAAAAACGATACCACTAGTAAAAGAAAGCCACGCACTCATCTGATTCTCTTCTGATTAATGTTTTCTTCATTCGCACTATTTTTCAAAAATAATAAAATTATTTGCTAAATACGTATGCGTTGCAACCCTGTCTTAGGTTAAATGAAGATTTTCTGCAGAACTACGTATCACTGTTACGCCGCCTCCTAGTCTACTTTTAAGACTGAACGGAAAAATCTTCAGTTTTCAGTTAAGTTGATATTTAAAGTGCTTGCTAGAAAATGAAAGTGTATGAAAAAGCTGTTCGATATCGAAAAGTTTTGTACTTGCAATAATTATAAAAATACTTTTCAATAATTTCCCACCTTATTTCATGGCTCTCACTTGAGAGAAAGAGTCTTTTTAAGCATAATTTCTTTAAAAACCGGCGATTAGTAACACATTTTTAATTTTCTAAAGTTTTGGATAATTCCAAACTTGAATTTTCTTGAATAGAATTGTAGTGCATGCGACTCTACAAATTTCCACATTCATTAAATTTTCTCTACGACCGCTAGTTTAGAAGTTATAAGCATTTTTCTATTCGGCGGCTACTTGCTGTATGCTCCTGGTCGCCTGGTAGATAACTGGCATTTTGCTGCCAAATTAAATGCAAGTTTTCTGCAACCGACCGCGGATGCACCGAAAAATTCATGGCGTGTATAGCATATACAAAGGAGCAAAAACGGAACAACGGAAGTGGAAGTAATTTTAGGGCCGGATGCAAGTAAAAAGGGGTACCGGAAATGTAAAATAATGGTATTGTATTTACGGTTTCATGTTGTTTCCGGAAGTTGTAAACCGGCAACGGAAATATTTTCAATACAGGAATTATTAATTTCCTTTAAACAACGATGATTACCGGAAATGTAAAATAACGGGATTATATTTCCGGTTTCATGTGTTTTCCCGGAAGTTGTATACCGGAAACGGAACCTTTTAAAAACAGGAAATATTAGTTTTCTTTAAGTATTTCCTGTATGACAACTACTTCGTAAACAAACGTAATACATAAGAAATAAACTTAATATGAAAACTTCCGGTTATTCGGTTCCATTTCCGGATTTCGATCTATATCCGGTCATGTATGTCCGCTTCCATTGTTCTATTTATGCCCCTTAGCATATGCTAAGTTTGACAAACCTAAAATTAATAATGCGCTGCTAATCGCTGGAAATTTTAAAGAAATTATGCGAAAAATACATAGTTTTTCTGAACTTAGTGCAAACAAATGGTGTTTATGATTTTAGCTTACATTTTAAAATAACTTTTTTTCTTTGGAGCTTTTCCAAGCTTTCAATTTGAGTTCCAAAATAGTACACTTTTATTGGTTCGTATGAAATTCTGTAGTATGTAGGTGGAATTTTTTGCTAATGTTCTTCTTTACTCACGTTCTATGGCATATTAAAATTAAATAAATACTGGATATTGTAAGCATATATTCCAATAAAGTGTGCCTACCATTAATTACTTCCGCTTTTATAATTGATTTCGAATTTAGCTAAATGGTGTTAAAAAAAAGGTCAAATGAAGTTTCGTAAAACTGCGGTAATAATTGAGTCGCCGCTTCTGCTGCGACACACACACACACACGGCCACTTTCCAACGAACAGTCGTCAAAGAGGCGTGAGTGAACCAAACAAATTTCTTGAATCAACTTTCAGTTTATACCTATGAACCTAACCATCACACGGGGATTTGAAGAATAAATAGACTGCCAAGCTGTAATTTGCTTTTCTTAAAAAAAATACTTGCAAAACTTGCAAAGACTTTCTGGTATAGAAATTATTAAATTTTTTTCCTATCTCATGTTGGTATTGTGAAGAATTGCGCTAGAATGTGCACACCTGGTGCACATATATAAGCCATACACCGTTCTGTGGCACCAATTGCGGCTGGAAACGCCCGTTGTCATTTTTTATTTTTACAAATTTTCTTCATATTTTTACGCTTGCGCGCGAACGCTGGCTGCTTTTGGCACGCGCGAGAAACCTGTTGCTGCACCATACTCACATGCCCACGGGCAAACAGGCGCACTGGGTGTAAGCGTCAATTGCATGTGTGTCACGACTTCGCCCGTCGCTGGCGTTTGCACATTTTCGGCGTTGTTTGCCACTGAACCACTTCGACGCTAAGGCGGCCAGCAAAAGTTTTTAGAGCAACGCAAGAGCTACAAGCAGCGCGCAGTTGTGGCGTATCCAAAGGAAGCAAATTCACTCTGCTTGTTAATTGAACCGAAACCGAAGCGATGGCACGATGACCTCATTTTGTGTTTTTGCTCAACAATGTCAGCGGCAATTCCTGTAGTTTCTACTAGTGTCCGATTGTATCTATCGCCAGTACTTGCACCTGTTGCGTTGAGGTTTTGGCTGCCAGTGTTCAGCGGCTGTGTTAAGATTTGCCGATTGTCAGTTGCTACTGCGTGAAAGCTAGAAGTGGTTGTGTATGTGTCGCAGCGTGGCAATGGAAATTGATGAGAATCATTTTAGTTTAATATTGGCGAATGATCTAATTTAACGAATTTAGAACAAAGGAAGTCAGTAGTTAATAAAAGCAGCTGCAACGGTAGATTTTCTACAAAAATGTTAGAGGCAAGACAAGAAACGAACTGTCAAACGGTTTCAAAGTAATCGTAAACAAAATTTGCCACACATTTCGTTCATGATGTCACAAACCAATTTGTTTTTCTGTCAAACGCGCTCCCCAAAAAGTAAGCATATTGTATGTATAAATGTAAATCTGTATTTTTTTTTATCTCTGAACTTCAGTTAACGGGATATTAAATATTGTTTGTGAAAATTGAATATTATCGCCAGCTGAATAATATCAAAAGTCGATAACTATTAATTGTTACACGTATATCTACCAAAGTATATTTTCAAGAACGCTGTATGTGAGCAAAGATCTGTTAATTCAGGTAGTTTTAAAGTCCTAAAGGGTTATTTCAAACATTGTTAATGCAACTATCAAAAAAAAAAAAGAGACAAAGCAAATCGTTTGATATAAAAAAAGTCGGAAATCGTATAGTACTAGCGTTTCTTACGATGCAAATATACTCCCGTTTTGCACAAGAACTACTCATATAAATACTAATAATGGCTAGGCCCCTAACAGTTGCGCCAAAATTAAAAAAAAACCACAGCAAGCTCTAAAAATACTTAAAAATGTGACCTGATGCGCAGAGAACGTTATATTCAAAATGAGAGACGAGGACGATTTAACCATAACAGTCTATCTAGCTAGCTTTTGCGACCATGTCTCCAGACAATGCATCTCAGAGCAATCATAGACCGTGCAACGTACCCACGACAGTCGAGTCTACGTTAGCTGAACGATCCGGATTTTTACCAAGCCAACGACTGTCAACTCGGCACATTTCGCTTATTACATGAATGTTTTCTGCCGCTACAACATCAACAAGGTAAGATTTACAATACTGGCGACTTCATAAACCCGACAGTCGGTTAGTAGTCTTCCCCCAGCGGCCAGCGGTTAGAATTTGCCCGCGGTAGGGCATGCCTGTCGTAAGAGGCGACTAAAATCCATATGCACTGTGTCTCTTATTAAGCTTTGCCACGAAATATCAGCCTAGTTATGTTAGCAATACTCAGCTTGAACTGATATTACAATTATAGACTTTGAATGAGGTTCCTTCTAATAAAAACACATTTGCAGTTCAAGCGACAAATGTCACCAGCCATTGAGTTTGTTGGGCGCTCAACTGGCAGTAGCTTCGGCTACAAGGTCTTACTGGAGACTTAAATCTAGTACGACGAGGAGCAGAAATATTATACCACATATTATTCGTGCAAAAAAGTACAGTGTGTTAAAAATATTGAAAACGGAAATCGAATAACGGCATCTAATAACAATAAGTAATTGTTTTTAATTATGAAAATAACGGTTTTCAGCTGAATTGCAGCTTTCTTTTGAGAATTCGTGTTCAACTTGTAGTTTCGCCGCAGATTTTATTTGTTGCAATCATTTTGCGCTGTCGCTGCATTTTGTGTTCCCGTTGGTCACCGTTGCTTTTGTTTTTGCTCAGCTCAGCTGCTGCTTTGCCAATTTTCCATCTGCCACTTTTCTGCCAAATCTTGAATATCAACTTCAAAGAACTATTTATTTTTGTTGTTTTTTTTTTTGTGGTTTTGCCTGTCAACCAAAAGCGGTCAGTTAGCAAGCGCTGCAATGGCAACAACAACAACAGCAAACAACAACACAAACGACAGCTATAACAGCAACCGCAACAAGAGAGAGACTCGTTTGTTTATGTGGAGCAACCGTTGCCGCAGTAGCTGTTGTTGTTGTTGCTGTTGCGGCTGAAAGTAAGTCAGTGGGTTCTGGAGAATACGCCAAGCCATTGTCAGCTAGCTGCATTTGTTGCTCTTGTTGTTGCAACAAACATAATAATAATAAACATGTTGTTGGCCTTCATAATTGACAGTTAAAATTGAAGGTTCAACGCCGCAAGCAAAGGAAGCGAAATTTTTTTACTTATCTTTACTGCGCAGGCGCGCAGATTTCAGTGTCATTGCAGGTAAAAAAAAAACTGTTTGCTTGCAACTCTAATTTAAATTTTGCATTTGTTTTATTTATTTATGTTTGCTTTTATATTTTTCTACACTGCCGATATAGCCATGTCCGTTGCTATATATATTTTGTATATACGCGAGCTAGTCACTCAGTTTTTGAGATATCGATCTGAAATTTTGCACACATCCTTTTCTGCTCAAAGTACTGCTCATTTGTCGAAATGGTCAATATCGGCCCACTAAAGCATATAGCTGCTATACAAGCTGAACAATCGGAATCAAGTGCTTGCATGTAGAACTTTTTCATTTGACGAGATATCTGTACGAAATTTGGAACGGAGCATTATCTAAGGCAATAATGAAATCTTCGAAGAAATTGTTCCGATCGAATCACTATAGCATATAGCTATCATGCAAGCTGAACAATCAGAATTAAATTCTTCTAAAGAATCTTCTGTTCTTGTGAAGGCTATTATAGCTTCGGAACAACCGAAGTTAACGGTTTTTCTTGTTTTATATATATTATTTTTCATTGCCACAGTTGCATTGGTTTTGTTGCAATCGTTGGACAGATGCCAAGTTGTTGTTGTGGCTGTCTGCCTGTGTTCATATTCGCAACAAATCAATTGTGCTTGTCAGTCGCAGCTTCTTACGTTTGTTGTTGTCACTGTACATTGTTTTTGTTTGCTGTTGTTATTGTAATAGTTGTTTGCAATTGAATTTGTAAATAAAAAGCTCCGCACAATTTGCTTGCAATACCACAATGTGTCTTCCCTTCGCTTCGTGCGCTGTTTTTCTTTGCCGCCGCCACTTTTCTCTGCGCTCATTTCATTCGTCATTAGTTTCATTGGCGCTGCGGCCGCTGACGGTGGCCACAAATGTGGCATTGCCGTTTCTGTCAGTTGGCGCGCGTTTTTCGCAGCAGCTGCTTGAACGCGAGGATATATGCTTGGTTTAAAGTAGAACACTAGTAATCGGGTCACGAGGTTTTACACAATTTTTCGCTGCGCCAACGACTTAACACTTTGACAATAACTCACTAATGGGTAATGTCAAAATTTCAATAAGAAATGTCATTTATTGACATTTGAAAGTTTACGTAAGGCCCTGACAGCAGCCAATATTTTTTCGACAAAAATACCGACACAAAATATACACAAAAACTAAAAACAAAAACAAAAAAACCGTTCTCACGCCAGTCGGGTCTAAAGTAGCCGGAACCAAGTGCTGTTAACTCGGCACCATTGCTCGAAATTACTTCAGAAATGGTTTCTGCCGCTACAACAACAACATACATAAATACCATACATACATAAATACATACACATTTCAAGCCAACGCTAAAATTAGAATCAAACTTAAAAATAAATTCACTCTAAAGAGACATGAGAATAATTTTTTATACCAATTGTTTTTAAAAATATACTGATAAAAAATGAATGCAAATATTTAACTAATTCACTTACCGTATAAAACTCAATCCTTTATAGTTAAACAATCCTTTTCTCATAATTTGATGTTTTTTATGTTGATGGTATAGTTTTATGTAGCTCTTTTATGTTGGCACTTTAATTTTCAAATTCACTTCATTTTTGTTGTACTTCAATGAAAAAATTTCTCTATTAACTTAATTAATTTAATATTAATAATATTTTTTTTTTTTTGATATTTAGACTATATGGAATTAAATTAATTTCTTTATTAATATTTTTTTTTTAATTTTTTAAGGCGTGCATTTCTTTATTTTTATTTAAAAAAATATATTTATTTTTTTTTTTTGTAAATGGGTGCAAGTGTATTTTTATTCCAAAGTTCTAGTTTTTATAAATGCGTTTTTAACTTAAAAAAATATATATGTATATATAATATGTAAATACAAATTTTAAAAGTATTATATATAACCACTTTTCGTTTGAATTTTGCACTTTTTTAATAAAAAAACTTTTGTATTCATTAAAAACCAATTTTATTATTATATAGTATATGATTTTTCTTTTTTTTTTAATTATTTCCAGTATATCATTTTTTAATTTTTTTTTAATTATTACCAGTATATGATTTTTTAATTTTTTACAGTGTATGATTTTAAAATTTTTTTTCAAATTATTTCCAATATATAATTTTTGAATTTTTTTTTTAATTACTAAATTACCAGTATATGAATTTTCAATTTTTTTTTAAATTTCTTACAGTGTATGATTTTTGAAATTTGTTTTTAATTTTTACCAGTATGTGATTTTTAAATTTTTTTTTAAAACTTTTTTCAGTGTATGATATTTCAAGTTTTTTTTTTTTAATTATTTCAAGTGGTGGTGTATGGTTGGTTTTTAAATATATTCTTATTCATATTTTTTGTGTGTTGTTTTCACTAAATTATTTACGTACTTTCGCATAATTCTAAACTTTATATTAAAAACTCATTAATAACTTTTTTCCACATATTTAAATTTTTTCTTAAATTTTACAAATTTTCATTTTTTTAAATATTATTTATTTTTTTTCAAATATTTCACATTTTCAACTTCGCTCACACTTTATGCTAACTCAAGTATTTACCTTTCCCACCTAATATATTTTGCGCGTCAATTGCGCACGCGTGCGTTCGCTTTTTCGCAACACAACTTCACCGTGGCAGCGCCAAAGAACATTTGCGCATGCGCCAAATTCTCGATTGCAACTTAGACGCTGGCCAAGACAGCATCAACGAAATTTTCCTTTCTTGTTTTTATTTTCTTCTTCTTTCAACATTTATCTATGTAAAGCTGACATTCTCTTTTGCGGTGAAAAGTGGCGTTTGCAAAAAAGTAAATATGGAAAAGTTTTTCTATCGCCGCAGTCACGGTGAGCAGAGTTCAGCGTCGGACCGCTTACCCAAGCAAGGTTGCATGCACATAGGTCCACATGTATGTATGTATGTATGCATGTATGCACGTATGACTGCAACAGGGAACAGGGTACACATGTGTTTGTGTGTGAATTGGGTTATTTGTTGATTGAGGAGCTGATGTCGGTCTAAAGTGGGGCAAATGCAAAACAAGCAAACACCTGTCGAAAAGTCGTTTCAGCCGTTAAATTGGCAATATGCGCTGAAATTTCCATAAGAGAGGCGTTTGTATAAAAAAATATAACAGCATTTTCTCAAAAACTCTTATATCTATTTCCAGTGAACGCATATTATAAAAAGGAATTAAATTACAAATAACCCAAATATATTTTATATTTCCAGAACAGTTGCAGATACTTACCATGCTAATCATCGGGTGTCCTTAGCGGTGTACAAACAGTAGAATGTGTACATAAATAGCGAGACCTAGTGCCAAACGGCGAGCAACGTCCACCATTTGTCACGAAAAATTCAACTTTTGGGAGGAGTGCACAATAAATGTTCATCTTAACTTTAAATTACTAAAATTCGTATTTCACAATACAATTTCCATCGAATGTATGCTAATAAATTGTATTTTTTTTTGTAAATATAGAAATTATTAAAAACACTTTGATAAAATACTTTTAAAAAATGGCATTTTTTTAATTTTTTTAAGAATGTTTAAGTTTTTTATTTCTTTCTTTATTTTGTATTTTGCTTTAAAGAATTTTTTATTTTAGTTTTTTGAAAATATTTTTATTATATAATTTATCATATTTTTAAGTTTATTTTATAATTTATCATATTTTTAAGTTGTTTTTTTATAAAATTTTTTTTTAGAAGTATTTATTTAATTAATTTTAATTTTTGTTTGAAGTATTTGAATTTGTTTAGTATTGTTGGTTGTTTTTTTAAGAATTTTTATTCAATTGTTAAAAATTTATTTAATTTATTTTCTTAAAAATATTTAATTTTTTTTAAGAATTTTTAAGTTTTTAGTTTTGTTAGAACTTTTATTTTATTTTAAAGATTTTTTATTTTTTAAAGAATTTTTTAAATTTTAAATTTTTTTTTGATATTTTTAGAACTAGAATTTATTTAAATAACGTTAATTTTTTAATTATTTTCTTTTTTTAATATTTTTATTTATGTTTTTTTGTTAAGAATTTTTTATAAGTTGTTATTTTAAAATAATTTTGTTTATTTTTTTAAGAATTTTGGTTTTTTTAAGAGTTTTTTATTTCTTTTTATTTTTTTTAGAATTTTAAATTTTTTTAAGCATTTTTTATTTTTTTTTTAAAGATTTTTTTATAATATAATTTATTATATTTATAATTAAAATTTATTTTTTAATTTTTTTATTTTTTTAGAAGTATTATTTATTTAAATAAGTTTTATTCTTTTTTATTTTTTTAGTAGTTTTAGGTTTTTTAAAGAATTGTTTATCTGTTAAGAATTTATTTAATCTAATTTTATTTATTTTCTTAAGAATATTTAATTTTTTTTTTTTGGAATTTTTATTTTGTTTTAAAGAATTTGTCATTTTTATTTTTTGAAAATATTTTATTTTAAGAAACGTTATTATTTGTTTTTTAAGAATTTTGTATGGTGTAATTTTCTTTTCGAACTTGCGTATTTTCGATATTCCCTCATAATAACGGGAATATTTACTTATTAACATTCTCTGTAATAACATTATCTGCAGTTTCCAATCGCATTTTTGGAGCATACTTTTAGGCAATGGATGTCGAAAGTTTTGTTGGCGCTGTGTTTAATCAAATTGTCACACAGTTCGTACAGTGCACATTGTACAGTACAAACCTGCATTTTGCCAGAGAACGCATTATTTTTACGTTCTCCGATTTTGCTGTGCTTTGCAGATGTTGGTAAGGAAACAACAATTTCTTTTAGTTACTTATTTTTTCACTGTAACAACGTAAGTTTTTATTAAATTGTTATTTTTTCACAAATTTCTCTTGTGTTTATCTTGTAAGTGGTTCGTTGATGTTCAAAATACATACATATGTACATACGCATACATTTCTATTTAAATGTGGTCTATGCACTACAATTGCTATTGCTATTTATGTATGTAGCATATACAAATATATTTTATTCAATACATAACTACATACATGTGTAAAATACGCGCGTAAAACACTGGAGGTACTTCGACAGTTATATTTCATTTAAGTTTACTTTTATATTTCTAATGTTTTTATTCGTTTTTAAAGCAGTGAACATACATATGTATATATACAATTGCAAATATGTGTATGTGTACATATTTACATGAATATGTATAAAATTATATGTTTGGCTTTTATTTCTGAATGCGATTCTGCGAATTAAAAAAAACTATCACCAATTTAAAATATTTTAGTGCCTGTGTTTAAATGATCAAAAAATCAATCAATATTAATTACAACAAAAATTACTTTATTTATATTTATGTATGCAGATGTATGGCGTGAATTGTTAGTTCTGCTCATTAAAAATAAGCTTTGTATGCATTTTAAAGATTTTGTCTTTATAATTTAAAAAATTTTTAGAATATCAATTAATATTTATATCAAACGTTTGTGTAATCTAATTTTATGTCACTATTTTTTACGTCGCAAATTAATATTTTTTTAATTTGTAAGCTATTTTAAATTATTTGATCAATTTTGTGATATTATTAGTGAATTAATTTTACTTATTTTTCTCTAAAAAAATATCATTTTTTTAAATTAATATTATTTTATTATTAAAATTAATTGTTTCTATAAAAAGTCTGATTTTTTCTAAAAAAATTTTTTTCTAATTAAAAATTATTTAAAAACACCAAATTAAAAAAAAAAAAATATTTTCTAAAAAAAATTATGTTCAAAAAAAATTTGATTTTTTCTAAATGATCATTCTAATAATTTTTTGAATTTTTAAATTTTAAAATTTTTGTTAGCCATTTAGTAATTTCTTGTATTTAGAAAATTTGTTTTATTAATAAATAAATTTAAACATCAAACACTTCTGTAATTTTATTTTGCTCCAACTTTGCTTTTTGAAAATTCAAATAAAATTATTGTGATTATTTTATTTTCGATCATTTTAAGCAAATTGTAATATATATTGTGAGCGCGCATGATTAGCTTTTTCAGCAATTTTCTTGTTCTTCTACTTTTTGAAAAAAAAAAATTACTTTTGGAACACAAAATAAACATTTTTTTGTTATTTTTGATCTGTTTAAACCAAATTGTGAGATATGTTAAATGAAATTTGAAACTTTTTTTTTGTTCGAAAAATTAATATTATTATTTTTTACGATTTTAAAAATTTACGAAGTCCAAATTTTGTGGACGCGATATAATTTTATATTAAAAATTTTTATTATATTTTTTTTTTAATTTGTATAATATTCAATATTAAAAATTTAATTTTGCTCAATTTTATTTTAAAGAAATAATCATACTTTTTAAAATATATGTACATACATATATAAAACCATATGTATGTATATGTCCAGTAATAAAAATTAAATATTTTTTTTTCAAAAACAAAACAAAACAAAATAATTTTTAAAATAATGTTGAATATAAAAAAAAATAATTTTGCGCAATTTTTTTTTTGCAGAAATATTTACAAATATGACAAATTTAAAAATCAATAATTTGTAATCATTTTACATATGTATAAATATATGTTCAATCTAAAAAATTTAATTTTGCGTATTTTTGGGTAGATTTAGTTACAAATATGCAGGGTTGCAAATAAAACATTAAAAAATAAATTGGATGTAAAAAAAATACACAATTTGTAATTGAAAAATTCGTAAGCCTGCAAGTATGGTTATAATTTGCATAATTTTTTGCATTAATATTGTGACCTCCGTGATTTAGTTTGGCGCAATATTTTTCGTTTTGTTGAAATTAAGTGCTTTACATTGCTTTTTAGCAAATATGTGAGATATGTTTGTGTGTATAGATGTATGTATGTATAAGTTATTTATATAATATATGCATGTGTGTATGTGTGCTTGCGTATGTGTTTTGCAAACGCAAACTGCTTTTATTAATGTGCATACATGCAACTATGTTTAGCAATTAAAATATGTTTAAAATATAATAATTATAATGCACAACATGTAGTAACTATGAGAGTGGCGCGCCAAAACAGCATTAAATGTAATGCATACATATTTTTGCGCTTTGATATTCAACTTTTAAAATTCAACTTTCACATAGTTGTACAAATTGATTTAACTTAAAACGAGTTAATTAGCTTCAAATGTTGTTTTTGCTTTTGTTTTGCACCGCTGTATTCAGCTATTTATTACTATAATAATTTCGTTAATTAAATTTTAGTTTAATTTTAACATTAATTATATGTATATAAAATAATTTGGTATTCATTAATTTTTCTTGCTTATACTTTCTCCAGCTGCTTAAAAGTACACAGCTTTAAGGCTTAACAAAATTAAACTATATAAATAATACAAACTAAAGCAAAAGTTAAACAATGCATTAATATCAGTTAACAGTTAAAATTTGAATGTATGTATGTATTTAACACACATTTTGCTATATATTTTCAATACGTTCTACTATTTTCTTTGCTTGCTTAATTGCAATTAACAATAATTAGGATTTGTTCTCTATATTTATATGTATGTACGTAATTACTACAAGTTCGCTTATTTACTAATAAAATTTAAAAAAATCTATATACATACACGTATATATATTAAATAAAATAACTAAAGAACTGCACTACAAAAAGTGCAAACAAACAATGTTTGAAATGGCTGAATTCAACAAGCGTTTGTTTTAAGCGCACTTAACAACTAAAATAATCATAATCATAATAATTTTCGGCCAACTGTCTACTAAACGCTAATAGCAAGCAAAGAAGGTTTACAAATTTTTCACTAAAATTCAGTAATTCATAAATTTCAGCACTTTACGCTTTCGTATTACGTCTTCACACAAACTTCTCCGCGCGCTTTTGAGTCGCCGACAAACTATCGACTCAAGTTGTTTATGTAGAGCGCATGCAACTCTGTGCGCGGCGTGTTCTCGAAGAGTGCGGCACGATTCTGGCCTTCGCCCTTCTTCACCCAATGTCCGTAAACGCGGAAAGCGCAGCCATCAATCACCTGTTTGGGGGAGAATGTTAGTTTATGCAAAAACATTTACTACATAAATATGTATGTAATTTTATAAGAACTAAAAAAAATTTTTAGAATTGTGAGTAAAAACTTCAAAACTACAGTCACGTGTTTTATAACGTTTTTTATGAGCTGGCAAACGCCAATATGAGGCTAAGGCGCTGAAATGAAATACTGTCGCCTATGCCTATAAAATTGGAGGCGATCAGATGTAAAACAAACGCACTCGCCGCCGTATAAATATTTGTAGTTTTTATGTATTTAAGGTGCAAAAAATGCAACTATCGAGCTTAAATTCGATGCTGTGCACTATTTTTATAGACACATTCAGTAGTGTTGTAGAAACTGATAGTTGTCGGAATCACAATTGAAACCGATAAAAAAAAATGTAGTAGGTGGCATGAATTCAGATATTATTGGTTTCACGTTCGCAACAGAAATTGTATCGATTTTAGGTGCCACGGAAACCAATTTTATCGGTTTTGTTATAAGAAACAAAGTAAGAGAATATTCGCTGTTAGATTTGTAAAGTAAGTTAAGAAAATAATTTATATAATTGTTACGATTTAATTTACGTTATTTCTATAGAGGAAAACAAAAGAATAAAACACAAAATGTAATAATTATTAAGTTTATAGAAAAAATCCAGATATTTTAAGAGGATTTATAAAACGTAATAAACGTAATTTAACACCCAAATGCGGATTAAATAATTCGGTGATGTGATATACATCTGTAGAGTAAGCATGTATACAAACATACAAGCAAATGCAAGCCAAATTCATATGCGACTCCTCTGGTGCATCAAGTGAATTACTGTGATCTTTTAATATATTCCTTTGAATTTTTTCGTTGCCTTTTTCTTCCAATAAAAAAAGCTAAAATAGCGGAATTCATAATAAACCTTAGTCGACTTTATACAGTACTATACATTTATCAAACGCCTCCACATTTATTCATTTGCAAGTTTTCTCACAATAGTAAACAGCTGATTCGAATATTGCTTTCGCATATGTTCAAAAAGACGAAAATCCAATCAGATTCTGCGACATCATTGAAAATAAGATTTGGTTTGCAATTCTGATAACTACGAAATCTGTCTTGGATTCCACAACACTCCTGATTACTTTGCCTAAAAATTGGACTCGCAACAGTTTTATAATTTTTGTATATTGCAGTATAAATATTATATTTTAATTTTTTAGCGGTTCATGGTGCAAAATGTGCAATTATCGAGCTAAAATTCGATATCGTCGATTATTTTTAACGCCACAACAATGTATCAAGAAATGGGCATAGTCAGATGACAAACACGTGCACTTGCCTTATAAATATTTATAATTCTATAAGGTAATTCTTGCAAATGTAGAAAGGTAGCGTTGAAATTCGCTACTGTCGAATAATTTTATCCTCAAACTACAGTGTTGAATATTGGTGGCGATCGAATACTATTAATGCTATTTGCAGCATAAAGACAATTTTTAGGTCATGCTTTTGTATGCAAGTTTTGAAACTATTTAGCTGAAATTCAAGACTGTCGACTATTTGGATCGTTAAATTACTGTATCAAAAAATGAACGTGATTGAATGAAAACTACGCGCAATCGTATATTTTCTTCTTTTATATAAGATTTATAAAAATAATTTCCTAACAAAAAATATATAAAAACCAAACAAAAATCGTAAAACTTCTTAAGGTCTTTAAGGTCACTTACCTTACGCAGCACCTTAACCCGATATGGATCGCGTATAGCTTCTTCGACGCGTAAGGGCTCGGCGGTGTAGCGCAATCGGCGTATTCTGATCATAGCGCGTATAACCAATATGGCGAATTGGAATTTCTTGCGTGCATTAAAGCGACTTTGTTTACGCAGCTAAAATTTATGAATTATAAAAAATTAAAAAAAAATGGAAGAGACAAAGAAAAAAATATGTTTGTTAAAAACTAGTGGTATAGCAATTTAAAAAAAATATGATTGAACAAATTGATTGGTTAAATGCAAACGTATGTATTGTATATGAATGCAAATGTCAATGTGTTGGAAAAAATTAAAAAAAAAATATATACATATATTATGACTTTTAATTAAAATTTCATTATACATTAATTAAATTTAAAGTGTTGGTAAAAATTTAAAAATATATATATTTTATGGCTTTTAATTAAAATTTTCAATATTTTTGAAAAACACTCTTTTCATATATTATTATAATTATAATATTTAATTATAAAAGCTGTAAAATATTTTAAATATATCACATTGAAATACAAAAATTAAATTTTGTCTAGTTTTTTGTTTTGTCTTGCCATAAATCATTAATTATTATTATAAAATATACTGTCAATAAATTCCAATTGCTTATTTTTTTATGAGCTTGGTACAATTATATAATTTTTTTTTTTATTATTTAAATGTACATACTATATATTTTTAATAAGGCTTTTAAAATTTTATGTGGTTTTTTATTACTTATTATTATTTTTTTTTAATTTTCCAGTACATTGACAACGACTTACAACCATTTTCACAACAGCAATTTTGAAATTTAAATTAATTTAAAATTAAAATAATTACATTAATGAATTTTTTTTTAAATTTTGTAATTTTATTTTGCACCAAATACAGAAACAAAAGCGTTTTTATATTGAATTGCTGGTGAATAAGGCTGTTCAATTCTGCTAAATGAATATTTAACTACCGATGCGCAATAACACAAACCAGAATAGTAAAACATATATTTTACATTTTTGCACAAAAAAAAAAATATAATAATTTATATAATTATTATATTTGGTTTAATTTTAAAAATTCTATTTATAATCAAACATTATATAATTAATATTTAACAATATTTCTAAAAATTTAAAATTTGCATATTTGCAATAAAGAAGAAAAAAATTATTAAAAATTTAACTAAAACTAACAAACATGTTTATCAAAAATTCTTCAGAATTTAAAATAAAAAATTATTAAAATTTAAAATAAAAAAAATTATTAAAACTTTAATTAAATCCAATTAATATTATAAGCAAAAATTGTACAAAATTTCAAAATTGAAAATAAAAACTTTTTTAAAAATTATTACTAAAATATAAAATTTAAATTAAAATAAATTATTCTTACTAAAAAATATATTTAGCAAAAATTCTTCAAAATTAAAAAAAAAAATAATATTTAAAACTTAAAATTAAACAAAAAATTATTAAAATATAAAATTAAAAAAAAAACAAATTATTAGAGCTTTAATTAAAGCCAATAAATATATTTATCGAATATTCTTCAAAATTTAAACATTTTTTATTATTTGGTTTGTGCTATTGTCTTTTGCATCATTTGTTAATTGTTAGTTTTTGTGTGGAAATATGTATATCGAGTCGCAATGAACATAAAGAAGCAATGCAAAGAATGGACAGGGGACTAAACAAGTATTTGTAATCTCGAAAATATTAAGAAATGTTCAATAAATGCCAAAAAGTTTTAAAAGGGTGCATGCAAATATTTGAATAACCAAACTATAAGCTAAATGTGCTAAACAAGCAAATACTTTAACCAAAAAAACGAGCAAAACGCACAAACTAATTAAAAACAAACAAATTTATGTTAAATTTACAAAAACAAAACTAAATCTATACGATAAATATGCTAATTGTAGCATTAAAAATTTTAAATATATAGAAAACTATTCTAAGTAACTAATTATATGCATAATTATCAACTAAAAAATTGTTAAAAATGTTTGTATTAGTATAACGGTTAATTTCAACATCTTAAAATTTCAATTACTTTTGCAGCGCATAACTCTAGCACTACATTAATTTAATTGAGATAATAATTTGGAATTTTGCATTTATATAGTTGTTCCTGTTGTTGTTCGTACTCACAAGCAAATTCTCATTGCCACAACACCAACTGATTGAAAGACGCTACATATGCACGCACACATGCATAGATCGCAACAACACATTCATATACATATGTATATTAGCACCAAAGTACATACATATGTATGTGGTATGTGTATTGGAGATTTTTTTGATTGATTTTGGTTGTTGTTTTTTTTTTGTTTTTTGTTTTGTTGTAGAACCACACAAATTGCACACACAGGGCACAGGTAGCACTTAGTTTGTATGTATGTATGTGGTTGGGGAGGAGTATTGTTGCACACGCACAAATTACCAGAGTACATACAAATATGCATAGAAATGTAACGGAACAAGAGAAAAAAACAATAATAGCAAATGTTAAAAAATCTGTATGTATGTTTGTAGATTGATATTTTATATATGTATGTATGTCATATTATATATGCAGGTATATATATTGAATTAAGTTAAATTGCGCAAATAAATGTGTAATCAAATAAAGGCACACATACACACACACGCATATGCAAATGTTGTACACACATACATGTATATGCAGATTTATGTAAATATATTTAAGAAAATTTTATGTGTGTGAGTTTCGCCGAATTTGGTAATAAGAAAATAAATTAATTAACTAAAGGCCAGGAAAATGCTTCATTACAACGACAACACGTATGATAATATATTGTGCGCTGCCGAAAGGTATGTACATACATATGCATGCATTACTATGCGTTTGTGCGTGCAACTTGGCCGTGTACAAGTGATTTTGCCAATGAAGCGAATGCATACTTACACACATACATACATAAGTACATGTATTGTAGAATTATAGAAATTGGAATTAGCTTTGAATTTATTGATTAATAAGAGCTTAATTAAATTTTGTTGTGCAATACAAATACATACATACATATGTACATATGCCGTTGATGCCGCAGGTGTTTAGTTTAAAACTTGTGAGAAAGGCGTTCTAATTTTTTTTTTTTCAAAATTTCATACACCGAAAAAAAGTTGTCTACAAAAGAAAAACTAATATTCTAAATAATTAAAAATATTAAAATAAAATTAAAATTAGGAAAATTAAATTAGGAAACATGAAGTAAAAAAATATCAAATAAATATATCAAAAAAATATATAAATAATATAAGCTAATACCAAACAAATTTCTTACGATAAAAAATGTACAATATTTAGCAAGAAATAATTTTTTAAATACAAGAAAAAAATGTTAATTTGATCGCTCATTTTGATGGCAGCTATATATTATAATGCGACGATATCGACTCTCCGACAAATTAGCAGCTTTTTGGGTATAAAAGCACGTGTGTAAAATTTCAGATCGATATCTCAAAAGCTAGAAAAATAGTGCACGTATATATAGACATTTGGAAAGACAAACAGACAGACATGGCTAAATCGATTGAGCTCAACACGCTGTTCATTTGTATACATATACTTTATAGGGTCTTCGACGTTTCCTGCAAAGTGTTACAAACTTCGTGAAAAACTTAATATAACCTGTTCAGCATAAAAAAAATATAAATAAATATAAGCTATAATAAAAAAACCAATTACTTACAAAATACACATTAAAAAATGTATACAGCATGAAAATATAATTTTTTTTTAATACAAATTTTATCGTGTAAGAAATTTGAGCAACCTTGCATTATATAATACTATACGTTAATGTATATAAAAAAATGTAGCAATTTCTAGTAAAAAATCTAAACTTAAATTTCAAATTTTTTTTTAATAAAACAAAAAGAACAAAATTAATATATATATATATATATACATGCAAGTGTGTTAGCGGTTGATAATGTTAGTTTAGGCAATCTTTGGCTTAAAAAATACTGTTACATGCAAACATTAACCAATATACACCAGCATACTTTTATGCTCTCAAAATATCAATATATAGTTAAATAGTAAGCTAGACTATTGTACGTTTTCAAAATAAAGGTGCATATAAAGATACAACCTTAATTTAAAATATTAAAAAATGTGCTGAAATTGTTTGGGAAAAATTAGCTAGAGAAACACACTAACCAACAAATCAGTATTGACTAAATATATTTATATTTGCACGTCATCTAAAGCGAAAACAGTAAAGCATGAGTAATAAGCAAGCTACAAAAGTCTATGGAACGATAATATAGTTGACCAAACGTTTGTTTGTAATATGAGAGTAAGAAATATGGCCACTAACAGTCTAAAATTGTAATTTTTCTAAAAAATAAACCCGTATTTAGCCAAATGTGTTTTACTTTTCATGTTAAACTAAAAACAGTTTTTACAAAATGGAGTATGTAGCGTAGCTAGAGTAGTTTGGAAGATAATTAGTATAAAAATTCACACAATTTATTTTAACGGACTTTTCAATTTTTAAAAATGATGCATTAAACAATTTATAGTTAACTTTTTGTATGCTATAAACACGATATTTATAGCAATAACACTATTTTATGGCACACATTTTATCTTTGCAGACTTTTAAATTTTCAAAAATGATGCATAAAACCATTTATATTTAGATTTTTGTATGCTATAAACACGATTTTTTTAGTGTTAACACCATTTTATGGCAACATTTTTCTTTTTATGGCACACATTTTTTCTTTACTGACATTTATATTTTTAGAAACGATGCATAAAACCATTTATATTTAAATTTTTTTGCTATAAACATGATTAATACCGCATAAACACTATTTTATAGTACAAAATTTTCCCTTTGTGACACATAATAATTTTAACTTAACGAATTTTTATTTTTATGTGAGACTCAAATTGGCATTATATTGAATAAAAAAATATATATTTTATTTGTGGAAACATTTTTCGGTATGTAAAAATATTAATAGGAAATTTCGATTTTTCCGAAAAATCGCCAAAATATCACCAATTAACGCGCTCTTGCTACGCTCAATACTCGAAATCTTGTACTTAGTTACATAACCAAAATTCCCAATCACGATATCTGATATTTTTGTTTAAGCACAAGTGAATACCCAATTGAAAAGAATTTTGTCATTTAGTCGCCTAACCTGTGTATAGTAATTTAAGGACTCAACACAGTAATTGTCTGGCGTCACTGCGTATGCCGTTGTTTCTGCTGTCATTGCTGTCTGCTGTGGTGGGTTCGTCGTCGCTTGTGGTGCGTGAAATGGGATTGTGGTTGATGTGGATGTTATGCTAACACCGGTTAATGACAGTGTATCGTTGTATTTTTGTTGATGTGGTTGTTGTTGTTGCGCTACTGCTGACTGCACTTGACTGTGCTGACAATCACAATAATGCAAATACGGTTTTAAGTGATGAGAATGCTGATAGTGTGGACAGTGAGGAGCATGTGTACTATTATTATGATGTTGATGATGATTATTATAGCTTTGATCATGATTTTTATTGTGATAATGGTCGCAGTGTTGTGTTATTGGCACCTGTTGTTCATATGTTTGCTGTTGTTTTTGTATAAATTGTTGATGCTGCTGATATAGCAACTGTTGCTGCTGCTGTTGTTGCTGCTGCTGCTCTTGCGTTATGAATGGTGTCGGCGTCGCGTTGCCAATACTGTTATTATTTTGATTTGTTGAGAGGAATGTAGTCGGACCAGCCGTAGTGTTGTCAAACGCATTACCATTACTCTGATAATTGCGTTGATTGTAGTTGTTATTGTATGTCTGAGGGAACGTCGTACTCGGGGAAGTAGTTGTGTTTGGAGTATAGGTGTTATTGGTATTATTGCTTTGAGTACTCGCTTGTTTGTTTAAGTACAAGTTTGTCATGCTCTTGCGATTGTTGTTATTGCTAGTATTATTGCTGGCATACGATGACGGCTGTTTGTTGTAACTGTAGTTCGTCTGTGTTTTTAAAATGTTAGGATTGTAATACAACTGGGCGCCATTGCTGGGCGTGTTGCGTATGTTTTGCGATTTCAGCTGATAAGTGGTGCGGCCATCAGTCGACGGTTCGGAGCATAAAACCTAAAAATAAATGGAAATAAAGAGAGAGAAAGAGAAAAAAAAGACGGGGGCAGGACAGTGTGTGTAAGAAGGGAATTGGATGAAATCGGTTGACAATTAGAAATGTGCGTACAATAATATTTAGATTTTTTTTTAAATTACAATTTTCTAAAATTATACATTTTTGGTTTTTTTTTGGTAATTTTTCGCAATTAAACGCACATGTGATGAATGCTCAATGTTAAGCCGATTGTAACTAATACATATATATATGTGGGGTATACTATAGGGTGATAGGGGAAAAGGGTTTGGAGCGCAGACCACGAGTAGAATTCTATACTCCTATTATATAGCTACGCTGGGGTGTAGCAGAAAGTGTATATCCAATCGTAATAATGAAGAACATAAGTAAAGTTTATTGTTGTTGTAGCAGCATAAAAGCTGAGGCAACAGACCGAGCGAACATAGAAATAAGCGCGCTGCCTTTAAAAGGGAACCAAACGCCGGAAGCACTGATTAACAGTGCTTTTACTAACAAACAGCTTAATTATATAACAACCACTTTCAAAAAACTTGTAGATTATGCTTTTAATGCTACAAAAAAAATTGTATAATCATAAATATTTATTAAACTTAAGTAAAATATTTTCCTTGGAGTTTTAGAAAACAAAAATTAAAATTAAATTTTGCCAAATTCTCATGAATTTATTTCTCTCTTCTCTTTTTATTATTATAATTTATTAAATTTACTTAAATTGATAATTTATGCCTTTCTCATATTCCTTGTTTCGTTTTTTGTGCTTTTTTCAATAAAAATAATTTTTACGAGTGTGCCAAATTTGTATTTTTGAATTTTTTTTAAACACAAAAATCTATATATGCACCTTTAGATTATTTAGAAAATAGTGTTATCTTAAAATAATAAAAGAAGTACATATCATTTAAGAGCAAAACATGCATTTTATTTCATAAATAAAAAAAAAAACTTTCAAAACAAATTAAACATGCAAACAGCAAAAAATCAGAATATATATAATAATAAATCCAAATATTTAATGCAAAAAACTTATTTTATATTAATTAAAATATAAATAAAACATTTTGCAAGAAAAATAAAACTGTTGCTGAATGGCAAATTTTTGTGTGCAGATACAAGCAATTTTGAAATTAAATTTTGAGATTGTTATCTTTGAAAGTAGAAATTAATATTTGCGAAAGTAAACAAAACCAAATACATAATATTAATTTCAATTTAAGTATTTTATCATTTCGTAAAAAATTTAAATGTTTTCTAAATTATATTAATTTTTTTTAGTACGAAAGACAATTTAAATGATTTGTAAATACATCTTTTTATTTGTTGCATAACAACAACAAACAAATTTGCCCATTTATCACTTATTTTTAAATATAGAACTATTAAAATAAATAAATGCATTTCACACATAACAAAAAAAAAAAGCATAAAAAATGCTATTACAAGCCTATATATGTACATATTGTAAAATGGGACGCGCACAAAATAAATAACAAGAAAACGTATACAAAAAAAAGAAACACAAAAAATAAAATTAGCAAAAGAGTAATGGCATGGCAAAGAATAATGCAAAAAAAAAACCCGAACATTGCACACAGCGAAGATGGTGTAAAAATTACATTAAAAAGAAAATAAAACAACTACTCTAACCATAAATTTTTATAAAAAAAAACTGTTATCGTAAAAAATATTTAAAAAAGTGTTGCTTTAAACTTAATTTTTTCTAATAAAAATATTTTTTTTTTTACAATTATTAAGGAAAACTTTTTCAATAACTTAAGATATTCGATATTTTTTATTTTTCCTTTTATTATTTTATTATTTTATTTTTTCTCTTATTATCTTATTTTTTCTTTCATACTAAAAAAAATCTATATATTCGCTTTTACAAAAAATGTTTTTAGGTTACAAAAACCGTGTTTTTTTTCATATAAAAAAAAACGTACGTAAATTTTTAATGTTTTAATTTCATATTTTTCAGTTATTTAAATTTTTTTTTAATTTTAAAAAGTAGTTTTTATAGATTTTAAATTATTATGTTCAAAAACCTATAATAGCTCATAGTTTACAAAATAGGTTACTGTAATAGTCTGCTTAGTAAAAAAATTTAAGAAAATGCTTTTATGATTTATAAATAAAAGAAAAGTCTTTCACTTCGCATATATTTCCATCTTTAGTCCGAGTGCAATGTACTAATTTTCTTCTTTGATTAAATAGATAATATGCAACAAAACTCATGTCATTAGGAGAACAATCAATGCAGAAACGAATAGGCTTTGGTTAGCAGCTAATCGAGTTAAATTTAATTAAAATAATTTTAATATATAATAGGAAAATTGGTAGTGTAGTAAGATCAACACAATCACTCTTCGTTTTTTTGTAGTTGTACTATTTATAATGTTAGCAAAGTAACAGTAAGTGTTATTGTTGTTATAAATATTATGAATGTTGCTTTTGTTTTTGTAATTTTTGTTTTTGTTTCTATTGAATAGGCAGAAACATTTCGTTACCAGTGCAATGTCATTGATGCGACTCATTCTCCTAGATTTGGTGGATAGGCTGCGCTTCAGTCCATCGATATTTTGCTCGAATAACTTTTCGTGTGTTACATTCGAACGTTTTTCATTGATGGATTGTTTATACAAATATGGTATTAATTGTTTACCCAATAAACGTTTTACAAAATTGTGGCGCAAATTTTATAGGTTATTAAATATTTTTGTTTTTGTGTTCGAATTACATAGATGTTGGTATATTAGAGACGTGTAAATTTTTGGCAATCACAAAATTTTGTACGATAGCCGAATTTGTTAATTTTTTATTCGTATACGTAATTTGTATAATTTTCATTATGTGGGTAGTGAATGAATGAAAGAAAAAAAGAAAGAAAATCATAGTTAGAAATTATGAGAAAATAAAGAAAATAGTTTTTTTTTAAAAAAAGAGAAGAATTCTTCTATGGACAACAACTTAAGTAACCAGTAGAAATATAAATTTATATACGCATGTAAAATAGTAAAATGTACTATTGCTAAGTGTGCTATAAAAATAGAATGTATCATAAGTACTATGCTAAAAAATTATAACAAATGTAATTGTTGAGCGTAGTTATATAAAAAAAAAGAGAAATATTAACAAAAAATTACATATAACAAAGCTTAAAAGCAAAATATTGCCAACAATGCGCGCTGAAATTGAAAAAATTTCTAGTGTACGGGTGTAGGTAGATATTGTCGCTCTCGCTCTAAATGTGTATGTATAGAAAATTTTAAGATACTCATTTAAAAACTGCAATTCGTCTTAACCTTAAGCAAAATACTCGTATACTTGTATTGTGAAGAAGTAGGGGGGTGAGCAACCAGTTTATGTGCGTTTGTTTTACTAAATATTCCTTTTACTTTATAAATCTTGTATATGTATTTAAATTAAATCGCACGCTTAATATCTTATGTTGACTTACCATCTGATTGAAGAACGGATGCTTTAATACTTCTTTCACTGTGATTCGTTTCGCTGGATCGACGACTAGACATTTGCGTATGAGATCCTTGGGATCCTCTGTAAGTCGAAAAGCAAACATTTTTGCCATTATTAGTATGTGCATTGTTTATTTTGCATAAATTAGTTTCATTACCTGATATATCAGCCCATTCAGGTGAGGTGAAGCTATATTTGCCCTCCATTATGTTGCGCAACATGACCATTTGTTTGCGATGCCAAAACGGTGGACAGCCAACAAGTAATGTGAACATAATAACACCGCATGCCCAACTGAGTGATAAGCAAATTGAAAATTTTATTTATTAAACATTTTAAAAATACATATAATATATATAATCATGCATTTTCTGCGTGTTTTGATTACTGTTAGCGAAGAAAAGTAAACATGTAAATTAAGTCAAGGATGCTAGGAGTAAAATACAGTTAATTAAACATGTAAAACCGTTCATTTCGGCTATACCGAAGCTGTAATACCCTGCACAGGTGCATTTTTTATAGCACAAAAGTGTATAAAAATATCCTATCTTGATTTTAATCGGTCAATTTGTATGGCGTGGACAATAATCCAAGCCAAATTTCGTGAAGATATCTAGTTTTATAAAAATCATTCCATACCAAGGACTTGATTTGGATTGGTCTGTTTGTATGGCAGCTACTCGATTTAGTGGTACGATATTGGCGGTTCCGAAATGAGCAGCTTCTTGGGGACAAAAGAACGTGTGCAAAATTTCAGATCGACAACTCAAAAACTGTGGGACTAGTTCGCGTTTAGAGAAAGACGGACAAGGTTAAATCGAATCAGTCACAATGATCATTTACAAATATATACTTTATAAGGTGTTACGAACTTCGTGGCAAACATAATATATCCTGTTTAGGCTGTAATTATAATACTAAATAAAAAATCAGTATTGTAAAAATACTAACTAAATATGTTGTTCCCTTTAAATGCTGCTAGTTTACGTTATAGATATATATTTCTTTTTTATTTAAAACACTACAAATTTTATTAAATAAAAATTATATTTGCCCTTACATATGTAATTATAAGGTAATGTATTTGCGAACAAAATCAAACTAAAGTTGGATTTGGAGATTTGCAAATGAAAGCATGTGCAATAAATAATTTTCTTAATAATTTGTATATAAACAAGTTTTAAGCATGTTTTTGTTAACACCATTTTATATTATTCTTTTGATACTCACATATCAACTTCTTTTGAGTAACCAGGCGAGCCTTCGAACATATTACATTTCAATGTTTCCGGCGCCAAATAGCCAGGCGTGCCGCATAGGTCTAAAATATAATGAAATGTTATAAAAATATCACAGAACCCAAAACATATACATGGACATTTAAGCAAATTGTTTAAGTCGGGTCTAAACACACCTGCCAACTTCTCGTCGCCTTTCAGCTGTCGCGCAAAACCGAAATCTGTTATTTTAACATTATGATTTTCATCGAGTAGAATATTTTCGGGTTTCAAATCTCGGTGTACAATATTTTTTGCATGTATATATTCGACACCCTCAAATATTTGACGCATTATGGTGCGTGTCTTTTTCTCCGATAACGTTACAACCGAGGTGAGGTAATCGAAGAGTTCACCTTTCGGACACAATTCAAATACTAAAAAGACGAACGCGTCCGATTCGAAAACATCTTGTAGATCAACTGAAATAGCGGTAAGTATGTACATTGAATTAGTTGTGTTGAAATTGAAATGCATTTTTCGTTTTGCGACTACTCACTTATATAGGGATGCCCCATAACTTGTCTGAGTATTGAAATTTCCTGTCTTGTAGCTTCGAGCATATGATATGGATTAGTATCGCCAGCTTCTGTGGCGGCGCCAAGATCGATGATTTTGGCGGCAAACTCTTTGCCGGTCTCCTTTTCAATACAGCGTCGTACCGTTGAACTGATGCCTCTGAAAAAATTTAAGAAGAAATTGAAAAAAATTATTGAATGCGTGCTTGATTACAGAAGAAACTTTTAATAAAATAAAAATAAGAGGTTTTTGTTTCCAAATTCGATACAAAGTAAATATATACGTAGTTTTAGGGAAACAAAAATCATTACAAACTAATGTAAGAGTAAAGCAAAAAAATTAAGAATAAACGAAAAATTAAAAACATATATAAATACACACTATATATAATATGAAAAGCATATAAAAGATTTTTTTAATTATTATATATTTTTATTTTATTTTTAATATTTTTTTTATTATAATTTTTTTTTTCTATTTTTAATATTTTTTTATTTATAAATATTTTTTCTATTTTTAATATTTTTTTAATTATAAAAATTTTTTCTATTATTTTAATTATAAATATTTTTAATATTTTTTTAATTATAAATATTTTTTCTATTTTTAAAAATAGAATATAAGGTATTGTATTTTTTTTTTTTTTAATTTTTTCGCACATAATTACTTTTAAGGCTGATATTCGCATGCTTTTCTTGGCGCGGTATTCCTTTCGATAACATATAAGGAAATGGCCAAATTAAAAACTATTTTGCGATAACATTTTTTTCTCATTTTAATCAATAACAAAACTGTTATTATTATTTCATTTCATTTGAGTTCGAAATCTTGTTTTTTTGTACAATCTGTTAATCTGAGCATACTTTCCACACGCGTCTAACTAAAAGTTGTAAGTGTTTGCATTTCACAAGCTTATAAATAAATAAATATACACATAAGTAATATATGTATATGTATGAGTGGACAAAAGGTGCATTGTATGCACACAAACATACATACACTTGTATATTTGTACACTATACACAAAATGAGGACACTTTTATTTAATATATTTTATAAAAACGCAAATCTAAAGACGGCCACAACCAGAATGTTGATCAGTCAACCAACCTTACACAGTCGCACAGTCAAATTGGCAAATAGCCGGAACGTAGAAAGTCCACACAGTTCAAATAATTATTTATATGTGCGCATATTTATTGAATATAAGATAGGTATGTAATTATTTCAAAACAATAACAGCAAGAAGTACACATACATATGCATGTATGTAGGCGGCAATGACACAAACACACGTATACATATGTACATGTGTACATATAATGGGATTGTAATTACAAATAGATTGGAACCCAGAGTGATAACTCGACATTTAGAGTTTAAAGTATAATAAATATTACTGCATTGAAAATGCATACAACTTCTGTTTATGTGTGTATGCGCGTATGTGGGAATATAATAAAAATAAATAAAGCATAAAATTATTATTATAATTTCTCACAAAGAAATAATGAACACAGATTCAATGTTTAAACATCGAACCACTAGAGCATATACCCTACAAGAAACTGCTGATGGGTTCACCAATACACTCACATTTATTATGTCAGTACTGACAATCAAATTAGCAGTAAAATAACTGTCAGTGTTTATGATTTTTCCAAAAGCAAATTCGGAATACGTCGAAAAAAGACAGCATACATTTCCATAGAAGTTGTGAGAAGTTCTGAAACAGCTATGTAGCTGTTATATAATGTATGTTGTGCAATAACTCTTTTTTTGTTAAAAAATAAATAAATACCAAAGGAGTTTTCAAATATATTATTATAATAATATATAAAAAAAAAAAAAAAAAAAAAAACTAGATAAAGTTGTTATAATAATTAATTTGATTTTTTTTATTATCTTATTTAATAATTATTTCAATTATTATTTTTTTTTTTCCGATTTTAAATTTTGTAGGCATTTTTAAATTCCGAAATATTCATGAACTACAAGTGAACAACTTTTTTTTCATAATTTGTTATTTAATTATATTTTTGTTACACTCCTTTTTTATATTTATGTATATTATTATAACTAATTTCTATTAAAAGTTGAATTTATTTAAGAAATATAAAATTATATTATCTACTGCGCAAAGGAATTTTTCACTTGTGATAGACTTACAGTCATAACTGACAAATTGCAGCTATGATGAATTTATGGTCAGCAATGACTCAGCAAAAGACATGAGAGTGAGCAGTATAGATATATAGTGAATCAATTCCGAATATCCGTGTGTTAAAGAGAGATGCAAACTCACACACATACGTTTGTTTACAACAGTTTTTGCACAAGGCTCTTAAGAAAATGATATAAACTTTGTTCTGCGCGCTGACAAAATTTTTTCAGCTGTGACTGTCATATGACCGGTCAGATCACAGTCACTGCTTTTGTAGGCATTATAGCCCAAGGCAGGACTACAACATCGGAATATATTATTGAGATGTGAACACTATAGCATATAGCTGCCATACAAAGTGGCCCATCAAAATCAAGATTAAGATCTTTGTATACATTTTTATGTTATAAGAAATGCAGCTGTGAAGGGTATTATAGCTTCGGTACAACGTTTCATTGTTTTTGCAAACGACTCCAACACTTGTTTAGCCGAACCGCCATGTATACGAGTAGGCAGTCTTAGACCAAGAAGCTCTTCAAAATGCATTTTAACACACAAAGTTCGCGTTATAATCTTTAAAAATGCTATTAGAAGAGTATTTAGTAGAAATGTGAACTTTTCATAGCAACTGTTATCTTTACAGCTTGACGGCTACTGTAGTTACTGATGATTTGCTAAATTTGTGGATTAAAGTGCAGTCTAATGCAAACGTAATACGAGCGCAATTAAAAATTATCGACATTAAATGTAAAAAAAAATTTAACAGCAGACATATACATACATATGCTTTTATAATACCTAAGTGCCCCATTCACTTTGTAATTGCTGTATAAATTACTTCATAAGCTTGCTTAATATGTTACTTTTTAAATTAAAATTATTTTTAGTTATATATCACACACGTTGAGGCAGTCTTTCATACTCGTACTGCTCTGATCGATTATGACTAATTCTTTTACGTTTATTTCATTTAATTAATTCGTTTTATATTACTTTTAACATTGTATAATTATTGCGCATCATTTACTTGTATTACTGTTTTTTTTTGTTGTTTTTTTTTGCAAAACTGGCGGCAATAGTTTTTGCATCAAAGGCAAACAGCTGGCTGACCTACACATACAGAGGCACATATTTATGTATATAATATACAAATGTACCTATTTAGATCTAAATGTACTTAGCTATGTTATTTGCGTTTATTACATTGCATTAGAAATTATTTTAATGAATTAAATCCAGACAGTTTAACTGATAAGAAAAAATATATATTTATATGTGTACACAACTACATACATACATATGCATTTAGTTTGAAATTTGCCTTTTTAAACATTTTTTTGCTTTAACGTAAATGAAAAATAATGTAAATTTTATTTAAAAAAAAAAAAACTTAAATAAAAAATATATTAAAAATATAATATAAATATATAAACAAAAATATAATATTAATAATTTCAAAATTAAAAAAATATTAGCATATACATATGTATGTATGTACATAATCTTTTGTACTAATCTTGCTATTTTCCCCCAATGGTCAACTTACAAACGGAGGAGTTTCAATTTCAATGGAAAATATAATTTGGAGTAAATAATATCAAGCAATATTAAAAAAATATAAAAAACAAAACGAAAAAAAATTAATAAAAATAAAAAAAATTTAATTATAAAATTAATTTAAAATACAATGTTATACTTAAAATACTTAATAACCAATAAAAAATAATAATAAAAAGCAATAAAAATAATTAAAAAGCAAAATTAATAATTTTAAAATTATATATGTATAATTAAAAAAATATATAAATAAATTATTGAATTTTTAACATTTGTGAATGAATTTGTTGGTATTTAAATTTAACAACGGAAGAAAATTTGAAAAAACAAAGTTATTGTATTAAAAATCAAAAGAGTTAATTAATTAAGAAATATACACATATGTAAAAAAATATATACAAAGTGGTAATATTAAGCATAAATACAAACAACCAATAAAAAATTTAGTGAACATTAAATTCAAGATTTGTATATAATTAAAGCATAAATATATTTATAAAAACCAAAAAAAATATACTTAAATGTATTCAAATAGTAGTGTGTTTGTAAATATTGTATAAAAAATTTTTAATATGATCTGGTGTTGATAAACTAAGCCAATGATGTTTTAAATATTATCAATTAGCTCAACTCAATAAATGAGTCAATATACTGAACTTGATTCCGATCGTTCAATTTGTATGGCAGCTATATGCTATGGTCATCCGATCTATACAATTTCTTCGGAGATTGGATTATTGCCTTGGATAATAACCCATGGAAAATATCGTGAATATATCTCGTCAAATGAAAGAGTTTCCATACAAGCACTTGCTTACGATTGTTCAGTTTGTATGGCAGCTATATGCTATAGTGGTGCGATATCGGTCGTTCCGAAAAATTAGCAGTTTCTTAGTGAGAAAAGAACATGAGCAAAATGAGCTTAAAAACCGAGTGATTAGTTTGTATATATACAGACAGACGGACTGCATCATCAGCTCAGCTCATCATGCTGATCATTTATGTATATATTTTATAGTCTCCGACCTTTCCATCTGGGTGTTACAAACTTCGTGGCAAACTTAATATACCCTGTTCAGGGTATAAAAATCAAAAAATAATATAAAAAATATATTTAAAAAATAATATATGACAAATAATATAAAAAATATTTAAAAAAATAAAATAATATTAAAAAAAATATAAAAAATTTAAAAACTAAATTAAAAAAATGTAAAAAATAATACAAAAAAATAGAAAAAATTTAAATTAAAGTTAATTAAAAAAAAACTAAAGCTATTGTAACTATTAATATTTAATTTCAAATTCTTTATAGAATTTACTATCATTTGAATTAGAAGAACCCTAAATATAATAGCTGCTTTTACAGCTTTGACAAGATTATTTAAATTAATATACAAATATTTATATGTATATTAAAGTTTATACAACGTTGCAT